AGCCAGAGAGCCATGGATATATAGGAGGTGGGCATGGCTGAGGCAGCTTATATAAGGGGCCGGAGGGGATGGTGACTGGAGAAAAGGACGATGGAAGGAACAGGGAGTTTAGCTTCGGCTGCAAAAGACAAAGGAAACGAAGTGAGGATGCCGGCACACCACACATAAGACATGAGAGCGAACAACTTCAAATCATGTCCGGGTGTATCTAGTCTGTATACGGAACTATCATATATATATATATGTATATATGTATATATATATATATGTATATATATATATATGTATACATATGTATATATATATATGTATATGTATATATATATATATATATATATACTTTGGAGAAGGAGAAGCAAAAGCCAGAGACAGAAAGAGAGAGAGAGAGAGAGAGAGAGAGAGAGAGAGAGAGAGAGAGAGAGAGAGAGAGAGAGAGAGAGAGAGAGAGAATCCAAAATTTCGCGAACCTGGCCCGCCGATATGTCCAAGCAAGGCTCAAAAGGATTGATTGCAAAGATCGGTTGCAGGGCTTCAAGCTCGCAAACAGATCGACATGTCTGCTGCCACAGCCATGGATCAGTTGAAGGGGGATTTGGCTGCTACAGCCAATTTTCTCCAGTCCATGACTGCACTCCCGAACTACGACAGTGTTAGAGAGGTGCAAGCAAAAGCCCTTTGCCAGCGAGTGAAGAACCTTGCCTCCGTGGATGCAAATGGAGCCTCAGCCCTGCTGGCTGCATGGACTGCAGGAAAGCAATGGACTTCTCCACAAACAAAGGAGTTCAGTGATCTCTTGGCTGGAGCAGTAGCTAGAACCAACACCGGGACAGGTCAGGGTGGCAAGAGAGCTACTCAGAAAGTTGATGCTTTCGAACCTTACCTGTCCGTCAAAGATATCCAGGCTTTGGAAGCTGGTGACAACATCCACGTGAAGTTGGATGTCTTGGCATGCCGGTGCATCAAGCTGAGGCTCACCTGCCCATCTGAGGCTTGCTGCAAAGCGATCTTGGCAGCTGGCTTGGCCAGGGCAGGCGGTGATGTGGGGGCGGTTGACAGCTATGCCAACAAGCAGTTGTTCAAGAAAATGCTGAAAAGCAAAGCCAAAGGCTTGCCCAAGAATGGCTTTCACCTCGAGCATTATCCAGCATCGCCAGACAATCTGCCCCCTGAGCTCGCCGATGCATACTCTCAAGAGGATCCTGCATGCACTGTGCAGATGCAATCTCCCGACAGGGTGCAGGCAGCATCATCTGCAATCGTGTTGAGAGGGAGCTCGAAGAAGCTTCGTGGTGGAAACATGATGGGTGCCGGTGGCATGCAGAGCTGGCCTGCAAGTGGCAACAACAACCCCATGAACATGCAATTCAACATGGGCCTGCAAGGAATGCAGCCCGGGATGACGATGATGGGTATGATGAACACCATGAACAACATGATGCAGAGGCTCATGCAGGACCAGAATAGGCAGCAGCAGGACCCGATCCCGAACATGCAGTACTTCGCACCCGGTGGAGGTCAAGCGGGGGCAACCACCATGGGCCAGGGGCCTGCAGCAGGAACCCAGGCACCTGCAGCAGCAACCCAGCAGGCACCCGCAGGGGCATCTGCATCGGTCCAGCAAACAGCAGGCGGCAACGAATGCATCAGCTGGTGTCTCGCCGGCAGTGCAGTTGGAGATGAGTGATCCTGAAAACGACGAGGCCGACGAGGCAGAAGTGTTGAGGCAGGCTGGGCTCGTTGCAGATGCAGTCAACAAGAAGAAGGGGATTCTTAAGAAGCCTGCAGGCTTGCCCAAGGCAAAGGCAAAGGGCAAAGCCCATGCCAAAGCAAAGGCAGCCAGTAAGGCCAGTGCCAAGGCCAGTGCCAAGGCCAGTGCAAAGGCCGTTGCAAAGGCCAGTGCAAAGGCCAGTGCAAAGGCCAGTGCAAAGGCCAAAGCCGCCCCGGCCGGTAGCAGAGAATACTATGCCAATCTTTCCATGAAGAAAAGGGTGAGCCTTCGCCCGAATGGTTGCAGCAAATGCAGATTCGCACCAGGCTGCAGGCCCAGCTGCTTCTGTAAGTAATAGCTGCTTGCCCGATTCAAATGACCGGCTCGATGAGTGGGGAACTCGTCGACTGCAGCACAGAGGGAGGAAAAGATCATCATGCAGGCATGCACTTATGCACATCATGTTGCCTCTTCTGCTGCATGTGTGTGTGTCTTGCCAGGCAGCATGTAAACCTGAGTGATCGGATCGGCTTGCAGATTGGTCTGATGCTGCATTGCAAGTATAAATATCTCCTGTATATATATATATATATATATATGTATATATATACATATATGTATGTATATTACATACTTACACACACACACATATATATATATATATACATATATATTATATATACGTGATATTATATATTGGTAGATATAGTCCAGCCATTATAAGAAATTAGTTGTATTAGATCGTGTGCATACATTGTATCATACGTGCATCCAGAGGTTTTTGTTGTGTTGAAGAAGGTTTCGTGGGGACAAGGATTTATAGACAGGTTGACACATGTTGTATGTACAAACATATTTATTGTAAGAATTGTTACTTCTAATATCCGGTGCCTGCAGGGCATTTTGCTCGCGGGCAGCCATCTTTATAATCTATGTCGCTCGCTACCATCGGCAGAAAGCACTATGTGAGCCAGAGTGCTCTGGAGGCAGTACTGAAGGAAGTGGCTGCATGCCCTGAAGTCCTTGACTCAGCCTCCCGGCGAGGCATCAAAAGGGCACGGGATTCCGAGCTGGAGGCAGAGACTCCTCATGGCCCTTTGGTGGCCAAGATTACAGTACCTGTGGAGGTGAAGAGCCGAAAGGCAGCTGGAGACGAGGAGGTGAAGATCGTGCCGACAGAGCTGCCGATCCTCAACCTGATGGCATGGATATGGCATGTTTGCCAGTCCATGCCTGGTGTAGCTGCCTTTTTCCAAAGGCAGCTATCGAAGTACCCGTGCACAGCAACCAGCCCATGGCGCATGGCTTTATACAATGATGAGATTAGTCCTGGCAACCAGCTAAAAGCCAGCAACACCAGGAAGATCCAAGGGTACTACCTCAGTTTTCTCGAGTTTGATGCTGAAGGCCGATGCCAAGAAAACCTTTGGTTTCCTTTGAACTTGACTCGGTCTTCGGTGGTGAACAAGATCCAAGGCGGGCTGTCTGCACTCACCCACATTCTGGTCTCCTCGGAATCGTTCCTGAACCTCCAGTCGGGCTGTTTGCTGAACATGCCAACCGGGGAACGGGTCATGTTCTTCGCGAAACTGCATACTGTAGTTGCAGACGAGGCAGCTTTGAAGTCTATGTACGACTTCAAGGGCTCCAGTGGGACTTTGGTTTGCCCGCTATGTGCCAACATAACAAGCAAGACCCACGGTGATCTGCCAGCAAATGACCACTCGGGAGAATTGCATGACATATCATGCATCGACAGCAATCTGTTTGTCCGCAGAACCGACAATCAGATCTTCACTGCACAGGCACTGCTGGCGAGAAGGCAACCCATGCTGAGCAAAAAGGATTTTGCCTTGCTGGAGTCCAGCATGGGGTTGAACTTTAACCCATCTGGAGTGCTTGCTCACAAAAGCATGCCGCTTGTGAAATGCTTGATGTGGGATTGGATGCATTGTTATGTGGTAAGCGGCCTCCTGCACGTGGAAGCGAGCTTACTCTTGCCACTCTTGCATGTGCAGGGTGCAACATTTCAGGTGATCCAGAGCTTTATCTCAGAGTACGAATGGCCTCACAACCTGAAGAACCGGAGAAGAGAAATCTTGCATTTGTTCGACAAAAGGAGCAAACCTTCTGAGTTCAAGGCCGGGGCTTCGCAGTGCATCACTGTCTATCCCTTGCTGCGGCTTTTCTTGCTGACTCATCACTTTGACACAATGGACGACGAACTTCGGCGATGCATCAGATCCTTTATGAAGATTTGTATGGTTCTCGACCTCCTGCTTGAATGCAATCGGACTGGGAACCTGTCGGCGGACGAGCTCGAGAATGCGATTCGGGCCCATAGCCAAGCTTTCCTTAAAGCATATGGAGAGCAGCACTGTATACCGAAGTTCCACTACAGCCTCCATCTTCCCCTGATGGCTCGAGACAGGCCTCTCATTTCGTGCTTTACACACGAACGAAAGCATCGGCAGGTGAAGCAGTTTGCTGACAACACGAAGAAAGTGACCGATTGGTTCGAAGCTTCACTCTTTAAAGATGTTTTGGGCAGGGCCCTTCTGGATCTGTCTGAGCATGCTGGCTTCATGCGGCCCCATTTGAAATCCCCCAAGTCTGTCACTGATGGCGCTTTGCTGTGGCACCTGGGGCAGACATTCGGGTTTCAGACTCTTGAGCATGTGCAGTCGGCCATGCTGGCCGAGGTCTGCCCAGGACAGACTTGCGAGAGGGGTGACCTGGTGCTGCTTAAGACGGGGTCCGTTGCAGAGGTGTGGTTGTTTTGCCGGTTGCAGCATGGCGAGCTCCTGGCTCTGTTGAGTGTGCTTGAGCCACAAGGGAAGAATCTCTTCCGGGTCAAGCAGGACGGAGCCCAGTTCATGCGAGTGGCCGAGATCAGTCGAACCTGCCTCTTCAAACGCATGAGTGCAGACAGCATGCTGGTCGTGCCATAAAAAAGATTGTTGTGCCTATGCCTGCGAGCGAATCGCCCTGCATGGCGACACATGAATTGTCACAATTTTTCATGTTCTGATCCTGCCTGCGAGCGAATCGCCCTGCATTGCGACATTGGATTTTTCATCATCCTCATGGGCATCATCATGGTTTTAAGGTGCTGTTAGTAAAATGCTAACTTCGTTAACTGTGTTTGGCTAACTTCTGTAATTGTACCTTGCTAACTGCACTTAGGTCACTTGCTATGTTAGACTAGCCATCCCCACTAAACTGTACAATCGATTACTAACTTATGTATCTACTTATTAACCCACCGCCCTTAGAAGTAGCTCGTCCGAAGGATGCCAACCGACGCTCCAGGCGACTTCGCCACGGTCTGGGAGACCCTCGGGCTGCAGCCAGCTATCAGTAGACATGGCTGTGCACATCTGCCGACATCTTTGTGGAGTTCCATGCAGATGCATGTGCTCCCGCACACCGCAGGAACCCCAAACTGCTCGTAAGATCCAGTTCCGGGCCCTGCTTGTTGGATCCTTTACAAACAGGATTCACACACTTCTTGCGAAGGCAGAAGACTGATGCGCACTACCCATGGGTGCAGCAACTTGGCGAAGGATGGGGCGCGACCGCCACCAACTCGTCTCGAAGGCAGTGACGATGACTACATTTGCCAGCATGATCGTCGTCCTGTGGTGCTGCTCATTGCGGCTCGTTGGAGGGCTGTCACGTTTCCACTCAGGTTTGTGGCACGTGCACTGGGGACAGAGCAGCTGGTGCTGCCCCTTGGACTCATATCTGAAACCGCCGGTCGATACGCAGAGGTACTGTACAAGACAAGCCACCCGAGGGACTCGACAGGTCACCTGCGCAACTTCAAGCCTCTTTCACACTGCAAAGACATGCAAAGAGCGGGTTCTACGCTGTGAAAAGCAGAGCACGGCACGACTAATGAAGTCAAAGCACGGAAGGTGCAGTTTTGCCTGAACACCAAGCCGTCCTGACGTGCCCTACTCCACAGCAGCACATGTGATCTACACTACTGATGATTCCATGTGATCCTAAACGCAATGGCCTACAACAACAAGACAAAGAGCAGAGGAGTGGCCGCAGAAGCAGAAACGAAAAGAGGAAGATGCCATCGAGTTGATAGTTTGATTAGCCATGAAGCAGTCAGCGCAAGCATCATTCTTAACCGTCTTACCCCAGGCACAATCATTCCTCAGTTTGTGTTGTAGAGTGACGGTGCTGCTGAAGGTGGCTAATAGAGAACCCCAACTAAATGCCCGCATCATTCCTTAGCGGTCCTTACTATGAATGATACTCAGATAAAGCCCAGAACCCTTTCGAACACTTCAGGCCCCTGCGTTCAATACTGGTTGCTAAATCCGCCCTCAGGCCCTTGCCCTGGCCGCCCAACACCAGCTTCCAGGTGTTGAAGAACGAGGCACCTCGTGTTGAAGCATGGCGGGAGGAGAGTCCAAGGTGCAATGAAGAACCCTATGAAGGCCGATCAACTGGACCCGACATGGCCCTCTGGCATATGGTGCCTCGACCTTGTGACCCAGCCCTTGCTCAGGCGCTGATGTTATTAGAGCGCTTCGCTGTCACGAACTACCCGGGCCCCTCAAATGACCGCGAGACGTGGAAGAAGCCTGGCCAACCACGCTCGCTGCATTCGTTCAGAGCCTGCAACACGTCGGGCACATTGGTAGCATCATGCTAAAGGCAGTGGCCAGCATGCTGAGAGTACGATCGATGCGAAGAGAGGTTTGTTTCACGCATGTTCAAGGCTGCCGCCGGGCAGAGCAGGCATGCTTGTTCCGTCGGTCTGTCTATTTCAATGACACCGGCAGCCTTTGCCCCACCGCTTGTTAAGCTTGGCATGGCTCTCTTTCGAACCTACAGCTGTCCCGACGACAGCCTTCACCTAAGGACGCTCTGTCTGGTCTGCAAAGACGGATCACAAGACCCAACCACGGAGAATGCGACATACTTTGCCCCAACCGAAGCGCTTCGAGAAGCCCCAGCGCCCGGGCGAAGCAATTCGGATACATACGATAAGAATATCAGTGGGAACAACAAATGGAAAACATCAATATTTAATAGCAACAACAGTGCAACAACGCTGATGGTCTGTCCACTGATGATGATGATACTACTGATTCTCCTCAATGCGGTTGCACTGCCTCGGATACGAATACATCCGAGTCGTGTATGTATTTTATGGCAGAAAGCTTATCATTCTGCCACCCTCATATTCACACATTTCTGTATGTTTGTGTGTCTCCTTCTTTGTTCTCGTGACTCTAGTATGGCTTAAGCTCCGCCGGATTCTTTCCTGCCCAGGAGCTCCAGAAGTTTGTCGCGCTGTTCGGAAAGACGGGCAACTCACCTGCAGGTGAGTTCTTCAGAGAGGGAGGAGGAGACAAAAGTCCACCAGGTGGATGCCTTGCTTGGCCTTGAGAGCACAGCATGACATGTTTGGGTGAGCTTCCAAATGCAATCAAGGGTTGTGACTGGCTATGTTGCACAGGGGGTGGTTCACCAGATTGCAAGTGCATTGCTTTCAGACAACCTTGGCTGGTGTCATTAAGGTCGGGTGCGACTGAGCCTCCTCCTGCCAGGTGGAATGATCGCCACTTGGCAGCAGATCAACCCATTCCTGTTTCTAGCAGTCTCCACGAACCACGATGCTGGGATAGGTAGGCTGCGGCCTGTGAGTGCAGGGCTGGCATCCGGATGACGGAGTGCTGGAAAACGGCCGCTTGATTCTTCATGCCAGGGCCTGAGGGAGTCTAGCAAGTGCTGAACAAACGGACGACTACTGCAGATGGGCAGAAGTACGATTGAATGTTGGCTGCAGGTGCCGATCATGACTAGTCGGGGAGCTTTGACCAGAGTCGGCCATCTCCTTCTCAACGTTCCTGAAGGCAACGGAGACGCAGAGTATACTTAGCTTCGACCTACCTTGAAGTCGAGTCCACATGAGTCTCTCGAATCTGTTGCCTTTGCCAGCTTCAGACACACGGACGAGCCCATTTGCAGCGCGTGCTCTGTGGCAAGCGCCCTGAAAGGTTACAGCTAGCTGGGGCAAACAAAATTCCGGCATTTGCAGCACCACGGTCGCATGACCTGACCTTTCGTTCTGCAAGTGCCGGCTCTAGACTCTAGGCGAACCGCAGGTGTGATCCACTGGTGCGACTACTCGCTACCGCACAGTGTCTACAACGCAGACGACGAGCCTCTCGCCCACAGCTTTGAAGATCTTGGCAAAGGGTCGCAGCCTGCAAAGTCCTTCGTAGACCAGCAAGTCCGCCTTTGCCGAGATCTGCCGAGCTAAGGGTTCGTGTGCACTTGATCATTGACGTTGTGGCGAGGGATAATGAGGAGCGGGGCGGAGAGGGGAGTTTCTTCTTCGGGCTTCGAGGGTGGAACAGCCCTTGTCACAGCCTCGCCGGTCTTAGGTGCGAGTGCCGTGAAAGTTGCAGCTACAGCAGGGCCGACATTGTCGGTAATAAGCACATGTAAAGTTATAAAGTCCATACAAGCCAAATTCCTCATCGCATCCCAGGACTTCCTACGGAATTTCCTCGATCCCATGGAGCCGTCGCTACGAGAAGCATTGCTGGAGAATGCTATGCCAGGGCTTCCTACAGACCCCGAGGCCAGGTTGCCATCCCGATCGCGATGAACTCTGCGACTGATAGATCCTCTAACACCCACCATAAAGCGAGCTGTATACAAGCTTCTGCCGAAAGTCTTTGGCCTCCAGGTGTCGCCGTATTCTGCCGGTCCAGCGGGCACTGCGTTTGCCAGGCGCAGAGTGTCTTTCTTCAACGGACTGCAGGAGTTGAAATGGGAGATTCACAGTTTGATGGCTCGCAGCTTCGAGGTGTTTAGGATTTGATTGGTTTTGGGAGTTTGGGATTCAACCCGGTTGGGCTTGAGCTCGCTTGCTTGCATGTAGTAGTGTTGAAAAGCAGGTTCGTGGCTCCCTTTCATTGCCGCCCTGCCAAAGCAACTCTAGAAGTCGATTAGCCTCTTACTTTTGAGCTGCAGGCCCCTCGCACGACAGATGTCGAAGACGTTCGCTCTATTGCCGCTCGCAGCATTGGACGAGTCGTGACGAACGGCTTTCTGGCCTTTCTGTACTCGAAGGTGTCACGCGAATCAGTTTATGTTGCGTTCTGAGTGCGTCCCCCGAACTGTGCTTACCCTTACCCGCCATGACAAGTTCAGCTGCCGGAACTCCTGATCTACAGCAAACAGAACTGCGAACGAATGCAGCCCCACAACGTTGCAATAGTTGGGCAACATGTGTTTTGGGTATTAAAACCCCAAATGAAATGAAGAAGTTTTTGTATTATCCCTTGGACTAGGAAAGCGAAGCCGTCCAAGTCTGCAGCAGGGGTTGATGCTTTTTCTATTTTGCCTTTTCGGGTGGTTCTCTGCACCACATTTGTATGAGTGGTTGTCAACATTAGCGCCCCTTTTGGGGTACCATAAATATTTTGTGCCGTATGATAAGAGGTACCCAAAAAGGGGCCATAATTTTGACAACCACTCGTATGGCTTTGGGTTCGTCGCATCGATGTATTGAGCTCCTGATGGAATTCCCTACTCATCTTTGTGCGGCTGCTCTGGGAGTAGCGTTGCCGCCGCCCGCAAGCCGCTTGGATCCCCAAAACCCTACATCCCCCGAACCCCAGACCGCTAGCAATAATAGTAACAACGCTTTTGATGATAGCAATAGTGCTACTTCAAGATAATAACAATAGTGTTAACTAATGATAACAGCAGTGTCAATCAATGATGATAGCAATAGTAGTGTTGATGATCATTGTAATGATAGAAGTCTAGCCCAAGCAATGCGAGAGGGAAGAAAATTGTAATGATAATGTGTTGATTCTTTTGCACGCTGGAGGATTGGAGAAGCATTGCCGCTGCTGGAGCGATCCATTTGGCGGCAGGTGGGAGCTGCTCAGACCATGGGGTTCCCTGTAAGGGCTCTTTAAGGGACCCCTAAAGGGATCTATAAGAGTTCTATGCAGGGTTCCCTTTAAAGGGTTATATAAGGGTTCTATAAGGACTCCTTTAAAGGGGTTTAGGGTTTAGGGTATACTCACTACCAGGCGTCCTTGCAAGCAAGCCTGCAGCAAAAGGGTATACTCGCTGAGGCAGGCAACTTCGAGGCACTTCAGAGAGACCTCGTTCGAAAAAGTGTATACTTGGAGGTTCATGGGTAGTTATATGTGGGGTTATAAGTCTCCGAATACGGATTATAATTATGGTTACCCGGTTACCCTACTTATAACCCCACTTATAATTGCCCATGAACCTCCAAGTAGGGAACCTCTACGGTCAAAAAAAGGGTTGCCATAAGGGCTACTTAGGGCACTCCTGTAGGCATGCAGGAGACGTTTTGAAGTTGGGATTGCCGCGACGATGAGAACGGCGAACGATTGTGAAGATGGTGGCAAAAGCATCGAGAATCCACAAAGATGTCCTGCTGCTAGGACTAGCATCATGACTACTTAGCCAGCTATTGATAGTACTAATAATATTGATAACCACATGAGCAGGAATCCTACTCATTATGAGACAACTACTATGAATGAATAGTCCCACTTTGGCCCAGGTGGCAGAAGCCTACCTTGAACAGGTGGCCTGAAACTCGCGAGAGAAAATGGCATGCTGCCTTCCTTGACAATGGCACAGGCTTTGCTGTGCTTGACGATCACATGTTTCGACACTTCGAAGATGTCTAGAGTCTAGAGATCCTTTGCCGCATGCGACCGTGATCCAAGTCGAGGGCGCTGAACACATTCACGGAAGTACTTTGTGGGATTGGATGTGGAGAGCAATGTGCAGCTTCTGGTGGCAACCTTAAACCCGAAACCCAAAAAACTCGCCTTGCCCGACAGGGATTTCAACTGCGGTTGGAAAAGGGCGATGAAAAACAAGCAAGAGCCTGAACCGTCTGCGACTTAGGCCAAGCAACAACTTCCGCGAACAGAAAGCCGAGGTGCCGAGACGAATCAGGGATCGTGTTGCATTATACATTATAGCAGGTTATAGTCACTTTAGTACATAATTCTACTAGATTGCATGAGAGTATTACCTGTGTTTTGGCAAACGCGGTTACATGAGTTTAGGATTCAATTCTTCGCAATTCGCCTAGGCTGTTTCCTGCAGACTTTAGCTACGTCGGCACCAATGTGCTTAAGCTGAATGTTTGATGGGCATACAAGTTAAATCAAGCGGTAATGTAGCATGGCGGTCCTCTAGATTTGAAGTTGGCCGTTGACCATCTGCATAGTGTAAGCTCAGACACCAGTCAAGAGTCAAGCAACGTAGCACGGCGCCTAGCACGATCGTCACTGACACTCTAGCCGCACGTGTGCACGCACTCCCGGTTCAGTAGGTTTGTCGCGTCCAAGTGGCTCACAATGACGACGCAGACGGAGATTCGGACCGAATCTAGCCCAGCCGTGCGCACACCATTCCGCTGCAGCACCAAGTACCCCATAATTTTAGACGCTTCCCGTCGTTCGCCTCGGCCCGGCTGTGGTGCATTGTTTCGAAAAGCAGCAACCCGAAAGCCTACGAAGGTCCATAGCCCTGAAACCCGAAACTCTAAACCCCAACCCTTAAAGCTTAAAAAGTGTAAAGCTGGCATGCCATGGCATGGGAGGGGGGTTAGCAAGCAGTGCGAGAGGAGCAGAATTCACCAACCGAAAAGTTGAGATTGTTGGAGGGGGCAGGAACGGGGGATGAAAGGGGCGGAGGGGGGCCCGGGGGTGGCCGGGCTCATCGAAAGGTTCAGAAAGAGGAGGGGGTTCCAGCAGTCAGTTTGGAAAGGGGGTCACTGGGGAGGGGTTTAAGGTGGGGAATAGAGGGAATCCGAAAAGGAACCTCTGACCGCTTCGGCCCGGGGCAAGGCGAATCAGTAAATGGTAGCAACACTGGCAAGATAATTGCGATGCCAATCGCAGCATCATAGGCGATAAGAGTACGCTATCCCCCGAAGATCCCCTAAGAACGTAATCCCGAAACCCGAATCTCTAACAGCAGTAGTCAGCTGGGCGGGTGGGAAAAGTGTAGTAGTCCCGATTTTCGGAGGGAGCTGATCAGGTCAAGGATCAAGCGTCACCTTCGAGCCGCCCTTGGCAGTTGTTGGCGACGGCCCCAACCTGGAAACTGGGAGGATACGATGAGGATTACTACAAGGGGACTATATGGGGATATTAGCTTTGTCTGAGCACTGTTCCAACGGAAAGCTGTTTCTGATCTCTGGGGGTGGAAGTCAGCCCTTCAGGATATAGAAGTGAAATAAATCAACGGACGTGCCATGTTTGAGTCCTTGCGCCCCGTAGCAAATTACTGAAAAGATAGGTCCCCGCACCGAAAAGTCCAGAGAGCGGAGGACCTGGTTGTACTGTTCAGAAGTGTTTCTCGTCTTGGCCAGTTGCCATTACACCTACTCCGAATCTCCATGGTGGACTTGCTTTGCAGATAGTGAGGTGGTGGCGTGCCAAGGAAAGCTGCCACCACCAGGCGCCAAGCAACAATCCTGCAGATGCTCTTCTGCGTATTCAAGAATGTAGGATTTAGGACATGCCCGAATTTGCGGCATCCAGGCGACCTGGATCTGCTGGCAGGGCCAAGCCACTGCCCACCGCGAAGGCCCAGGGGGAGCACAGCAGAAGCCCGCCTGTGAGGTTGATGTCAGTGTGAAGCTGGCTATCGGATGCAAGCTGGGCAGGCGTTGGCAGGTGGAGCTGCTGCTGAGAGGTGCATCGGTGGTTCGCGCACAATCGTTGGAACTCTAATAGTACGATGGATTTGGTTTTCGCCAGTGTCTACCAGACTCTGATCAGCTGAGAAATGCTGTCAGGAGCAGAGAGCGTGCCTCCACACGCAAAGAGTGCCGGGTCCCCGTTGCTGTCATTCGCCAAAGAACCTATATACGGGGGAGGAGGGGCGGTTGGCGCAGGAAAGAGACGTGCGTGGCACCTTCCCGGAGTCGGATCTATCTGCGTTTTCACTGAGGCAACTGCCGTTTCTGCCCATCGTGTCGCCGAAGGGTGCACCAGGTCCGGGGGGCTTTTGCAGGGGCTGGACTAGCTTGCGCTAGCTTGGATCACCTGGCCCGCGGTAGGCTGCAACTCAACTTAGATTCGGACTGGAACATGGCCTAATGTAGTGTACAGGCGTGAATATGTAGTGGCATGATTTTCTTCCAGTCCCTGAAGTACTCTGCATATGACCCCTCAAACTCTCTCCGTTCTAGCTATTAAGGCCCTTATGTTGGCTACATGTAAGCGTAGCGCGCAGGGAATATTCGGAACATGCGCATCTGTCCAGGAGAACATGCGCCAGGCCATTGCAAGGCCATCCATGTCGAAGACTCTTCCATGGGCTTGCAGAAGCTGCGGTTGCGCAAGTAATTTGCCCTTCCATCGGTTCTGCGGCATTCATTGACGAAAGCTTGATGCAGATCGTTGGAGACGATTTCCGGGGAGTCGTCGCAAGAGCCGCCCGATGCCAAGACCTGCTGTCCCATTGCAGCGAGTCTGAACCGATGAAAGCTGGCATGCGGATCATCAAGATTTGATCGAGCAGGCAACGTAGCCGGATTTTAAAGCAATAAGCGTGTTCGAGGCCGATCCCCTCGTCCAATGCCCACGTTAGAGACGGTCGAGGCCGGCATTTGTTCAGGAAGATCTTCAGCAGCAGGTTGCACGGGCCAATGTGAAGATTGCATGCAACCGCGGAAACGAGATAAAGTTTTATCGGTTGGCCCACCGCCAAGAAGTCTCTGGTGCCACAGATGCCGCTCGACGTCCCACACCTGTAGCACAGCCGCCACAGCCACAGATTTGGGCACATTGGTCGGCAAGTGTAGTTTCCTGCTATGTTGAGACGTGCTCTTCCTTCACGGCCTGTGAAGATCTGTGAAGTGGAAGCTTGATGTTGACAGCCCCGAAGTTTAAGCCAAAACACACGCTAATGCCTGTCACGGCGACCTTGGACTCCGCAAGCATCGAAACCTGGCTCCAGATCCCATAGTTGCAAAAGGGTATAGGGGGCAGTGAGGAAGTGGGAGTCTGTTTGGAACTGCGACCCCAATTTCGGGTCCTTCTTGTCGCAGCTGCAGAGCACCCTGACCTATAGAAGCCTGAATAATTCAAAAAGTGAAACCTCCCTTCCTTATGGCTCCTTACTATGAATTACTTTAAAGAGAGCCCGAAAATCTCGATTCCAAAGATATACCCCCTTTTTTAGTGTTCTGGAAAAGTTTACCCCAAACCCTATTCTAATGATTTATAACCCCCCAAATGTGTCATGGCGTATAATGATTCTGTGCTGAGGCAGAGGCCCCGCAGCTCCTCAGCTAACCGCACTCCAGCCCGTGACCCGGAGAAGCCTTCGGGATCGGGTGTTAGTGACATGGAAGTTTCCGAGAATTAGGGGTACCTTACTTTGGGGTCCTTATAATAATGATCCTACTATTTATGGCACTATATTGGGGTCCCCTACTTTCGGAAACGCCCATGAAGTGGACAACCATGGAGGGGGAATGCGGAGGAGGGGTGTTGTGGCTTGCGCTGTGCATCATTTCAGCATGACAAGCGATGGTTGCCAGCTATATCCCGGAAAGCACGACTTTTACAACACCTCGCTTCAGCCATCAGCAAATTAAATGTCGTAAGCACAATTGCTGGCATCATGCGGCCGATGACATCGATCTGGCGAGTGTGATTTACCACGAACTGACAGATAGTCGTATGTTGACGAGCGTGCCTGTCAATGGGGCTCCCAATAGGTGTGAGCATGAAGACGTAAGACGTATGATACAGAAGCTACAATCTCTTCACAGGTAGTTCGAATTACGGCCTCCAGTTCGTCGTGGCCTCGGTTGGCGAACCATCCGATCTCGCGCAGTCACAGTCCGGCTTTAGGGGTTCATGGACTTTCAGGCAGCGGGTTCATGTTTTGACTTTAGTGAATTTAGGGGTCCTCATGATAAGGCTGCTACCTGGGCTCAGTCTTTCTTTCCTCTAATGTCTGAAAACTCTCAGGTTTATCAAAAGGCATGTGCAGCTCAGGACAGAACGGCTACGTGGGCAGGGGCCCCGGATTTTGGAGTTTGAAACCGCCGATGGCAAACGAACAATCACAGAGCCATCGCCAAGCGTTGGAGCAAATCTAATCGAAATCCCCGTAAGCAAGCCCAAGCCAGCTGGCAAAGCATCCACCTGGACCCTGTTTTGTGGCCGCCACCGCCCGAGCGGCGACTCTAAAAGGTGTCTGAGCCATCCCCTCCCCGAGCCGCATCTCCACGTGCAAGCACAGTTTCTCTGGACGTTGCATCCGGACCGAGCTGCTAGGCACACGAAGTGTTCACAAGCCCGCGCCGAGGCGGCCAGGGTGTCCACGGACGGAATGCTAGTCCTTGCTGTTGCTGCTGCTGTTGGAATAGATTGTTGTGAATTGTTGGTGAAGTCGTGACGATTCGTGACGACGGTCACATGTCTCGTTTAGATGTTTCACGTTATTGTTAATACCGTTCGAAATGACTGTGAGTTCAACATCTTCTGTCCCGTGCTGCCACCAGCATTGCTGTGTTTGTTCTGATTGTCACTATCAACCATGTTTGGCAACGCGTTGGCTTGTGCGGAGCATTGCATCAAGAAATATCGAATGAGGGGGGGGGTTGTACACTAATTTCCTACTTGCCATCGCCATTTCATGCGGGACTTGTGCGGGAGGGGGGGGGGCGGGGCAGCCCGTAAATGGCCGAGGATTTTTTGCGATAGGTGAAGGTTTGCCACTTAAAACCCCGCACCGTCCAAAGGTCATGAGACAGATAACTTCGTGCTTAGGGCTTAGATTCCTTGTGTTTCTGTCGCAATCTCGCCGTCCTGTGTGCAGAGCGGCGGCTGGCGCTTGCGGAGCTAATCTTGACTGCTGAGTAGCTGTTGAGGCGGAGCTGGGATGATTAAGGAGTTGCGATAGCTACCACCCGGCATCAAAAATACAGCTCTGCACAAGAAACTAAGCCTGCTGGAATTTCAATGCCAACGCCACAAACATCATCCCACTGGAATTTGCCGGCTTCATTCGGCTGTACGAGCACACAGATCTGCTCAGCCGAAGCAGACTGAAGGTCCCGGCTCGGGCATGATAGAAGGCAGTGCCCATCGGTCATGGGACAGCTTGGCTGATTTGTGGGGCCGTTCACTGGTTCGCAAAGCCTGCCTTCTCCCATGGAGCTTTTGGTATATTATGTTACAGAAGGGTTCTGGACAGTGCGGAGTGTGCAGCGGGGCAGAGGCACTGGTGTTCAAGCATGCGGGCATGGGCATCAGGGAATGTTTCCACCAACACCCACCTGTGAGCTGCCTTCAAGCTTTGCAAACCGTGATCCAGAAAAGTCCAGAACTCGTGCTTCGGGCCGGAGCCCGCTGCAGAACCGATTGGTTCTCAGGTCTGCTCCGTTGGTCCCTATTGTACAGTCTTTATGGCGAAAGTAAGCATGCAAGCACCAGTATCTCGTGAGAACCCCTCCCAGCCGTCCCCCAACAGCTAGTACTCCCTTTTGTTATACCTGTGTAAAAATGCAATGAATTACCCCTAAACACCGTCTTATCATCAAGGTCCTTGTTTCGGGTTTTAAACCCTGAAACCCGAACCCTAAGAAGAGCTCAAGGTCACTGGCCGAATTAAGTGTTTGCATGGACCGAGCCAGCGCCGGCACGCCGAAGATCGATCGCAGCGGGGGAGGGCGGGGTCAATGCTGCTTGGAGTTTGGGTGTTTAGGAATACTCGGGTTTAGGATTTGTATGGTGTTCCCTGTTACCTTGAGGATTGATAAACCCAGCAAGGCACATTAGTACAATCCAACCGGCGGCAGATGCCACGTTCCGTTGTAATTGCCAATCATATTTCGGCGATAGCAAAGTAGTCATACGTCAGCAGTACCAAAACCATGAGCAATCACAAATATGCTAACAGTACAACAAAGACCATGGAATGATTGAACAACGACAAGAAGAGAAAAAGTCTCTTGTCAGTCATGTTTTCTTGGCTGTCCAGCCATGACTTCGCGCTCTCCGGCCCGCGAGTTAGAGCAGACGGTTTGATGGTAGACAAGTAAGTTCAGTGCTAACTAATCAGTGTGTGTGGAGGTTTCGATGGTTTGGTCAAAGTCGGCATACGTAGTCCAGAGAATTTGACACCATTATTACTTTACTATTGTTACTACTATGACTATTATTCCTATGATGTCCATTACTTACTATTATTACTATTATTACTGTTACTGGGAGTCTGGTGACTACAGCCGTTGCATCGATGGCTTTGCCAGAGCTGCCTTCACTGCGCTCCTGGGTCCACACTTGGAGGATCATGGGACTTAGTAAGTGAGGTTAAAACTACCTTAATTGGGGTTATGACCCTAGTTACTAAGTCCCATGATCCTTTAAGCACTAATGGAGAGTGCTGGTAATTGAACACAAGATGCTACAGTAGTAGTAGTCGTCGTCGTCGTAGTGGTAGTGGTAGTAGGTAGTAGGTAGTGGTGGTAGTAGTAGTAGTAGTAGTAGTAGCAGCAGCAGCAGTAGTAGTAGTAGTGCCAGTACGACGGCCGGCGTGAAAAGTAACGTTAAGTTGGGCTAGTATTTTGTTTTTAGCGATCGCTATAGCGACCTAGGCACATATGTCTTCGGCCGGCTGGATGAGAAGAACCGCAGAGATCTACCCGGTGCCAAGAAGAGGTCTCAGCGAAGTCGCACACACCAGGACCAGTTCCATGAGCCTCCATGGAGTACAATGTGTCAGCGCCAACGACAATGGCATGATCTCAACTTTTCTGATGCTTTGTACTAATGTCTCGATGCGAGGAGGAGGACCTGAAGATCCGCTTCATGCATGGTGTCGAGGGCAGTGCGAAGACCGTCTTCGGATCTTCCGTCCTGGTGCACGTAGCAGCTCTGCTCAAACTACAGATTGTCGTCGAAGTTTTCGGGTGTCACATCATTCACATCGCTGACAGCGCTGTTGTTTCCAAAAAGGACAACCTGCACGACTACGGCTTGAACCTGCTGCGGCAAGGACAGAGCCCATGGGAATCGGACGGGGAAAGTCGTGTAGAGTGTAGAGCGGATGCCAACGTCTTTCCGAAGGCTTTCGAAGTCTTTGGCTCTGTGTCCAATCCAGGACGTTTGCCGGAAGCCGAGCATGCCTTCTACCAGGCCGTCGAGACTGTACTTCTGGATCAGGATGGCGAGTTCGTGTATACTTAGCTGCTAGCTCTCAACACTCCTATGTTTGTTCGATTCGGGATGCTGCGAGCTTTTACGATGCTTCATCCACAAAAAGTTGTTAAAGATGGCGCCCAGCATATCGACAGCTTCCTACTGGTACGCACACAGCTTCAGCCGTTGCTCCAGCATCCTGCTTGCGAAAATCGAACTTGGAAGCACTCTGAAAGAAGCAAAACAGAGTCTGCGACACTAATGCTGCGTCAGGCTTGGCAGAGACGTGCCGCACGTTTGGGCGAAGACCACCCGATGGTGCACCAGTCGCTGCGGGAGTGTACCTGTCTCAGCCGTTCTACTTGAAGCTCACCATGCGGATGTGGTGGTGTCGAATGCGTCGCCCTGCCAGCCCAGCAACCTGCACTACCAATGCCTTAGTCAGACCTACTGGTAGGATTGCAATTTAAAGCCTTCTGACCCCCACAAACGAATTCGCCGCCTTCCGCACAGGGCCCCTCCATTGTCGTGGCTGCCATTGTATTCTTACTGCAACCCTCCTGAGCTTTTCACGGCTAGAACACTTATCATGGCATGACTACACAATCATTACCGTCGTCGTCACTGTCACCATGAGTGCAGCCCCTTTAAGGCCACTTAACTCCAAGCATGGTGCGATGGATCCCTTGTAGTACTTGGAGGATCAGTAAGTAAGGTTATAAATACCCTAATTGGGGTTATAAGTATAGTTGCCTTAGTTATAAGCCTAGTTACTAGATCATGGAGCTTGAAACCTGAGCTATTGCGAGCCGAGTTAATTGGCTATGGAAAGCATAGCTGCTGCTGTTCTGTTCAACTGAGACTCCCTGCAATGCGGGCTTCGTCCTTGCTAGGTAGGAGGGAAAAAATCCCATAATCCTTGAAGTAGCCCTGATGGTAGCCCTGTTACGAACCAGTAACCGTCATAGCAACCCTTGCAGCGACCCTAAACCGATACCCAGCGGTAACCCCAGATGCCCGTATCCTAACCCTAAACCGAAGCCCGTACAGTAACCCTAGACCCTATTCCCTCAAGGGTTCGTTTGAGGGCTTCTTTAAAGTTTGACGGGTTCCTTGAAGGGTTCCAGGTTCCAGTATAGTAGCCCTCAGCCTAACCCTAACCTCCCGAACCCACGGCGCCTGCAGGCGCCGAGACCCGACGGCGCCGGGGCAAAGTTGTGGAGGCCGAGGCCGGAGAGCACGGGCCGATGAAGACTAAAGGGGTTTACCTGGACCCCATAGAACTCAAAGGGTTCTGAAGGTTTCCGTACAGGATCTACGAGTCGAACTGCATACCTCCAGCTTTCTGGCAAGAGCACAAGAGCTCACTGCTGGTTTGCCACACCACTCTAGCGCTTGCCAGGCGCTTCTGGAGGACAACGTGTGCCACGGTGCCTCGGCTCCCGACTACAGAGTGGCTAACTGCGGCTCATGAACAAGGCCACTTGCGTGCGAGAGAGAAGATTCGTAGAATCTGAGCTGCGTTGAAGTTCGGATGCAGTTCCAACCGTCTGGCGCAACAAGGCTACCACCAACGTCACCCGAAGCGTGGAAACGCAACTCTGAGCACCTCGTGCTTGCACACGGCAGCCGCTTGGCCTGAAGGTCAAGACACGGACGCCGTCTATCGCCGTCTTGCTTGGGGTCTCCACTAAGATGACACCAAAGAACCTACGTGCCGAGCGTGGTTCGGACTTCCCTACACCAGCTTCCGCCTTAGCCTTCCTGACAGCATGTTTCGTGACATCTCAAAAGATCACTTTCTTCGAGGATCCTGGGCCCTGGATGGGAGACGAGACACTCGTTCGGAGGAAGCCCGATGTCAATGTAGGGGCTTCAATTAACAGTTTGAATAGGGTTTCGGTGTATATTGTACTACAAGTATAAGAAGGAACTATAAGTATAATATGGAATTCTCAAATGCTCTTCCTGTCATGCTTAGGATAAGGTCTGCCGCGTGAAGCAAAAGGTGCGGGAAGCTTCTGCAGGGAAGCTGAGACCATGACTGCTTAGTATTGCTATTGTGATTTCTCATGTATCACTGCCATTATCGATATTATTGTCGCATTGTAAGTATTATCGTTGCCATGATTTGTGTTATCCGCATTGTGAAAAGCAGCTTTCTGCAGGAGCTTCTCCATGAGCGCAGAGATCCGGCGCAGTCCAACCGCGACGTTGAAACTGCTTCAGACGGCCGGGAGCTAGGGTTCAGGGGCTTACGGTTTACGGGTTTAGGGTTACCGACCTTGTGGACGACCTGCTGAAAGCAGGCAGTCCACACTGTTATTCATAGATGTTCGATCGGTATTGACGGACGTCAAAGATCATTGAAGCCATAAAGGGCTACAAGTAGGAGGTTCATCAAGGCCCAACAGCTGTGAACTTGCTTTAAAGCCTCCGACCCCTACCATCGCTTTGTGAGCCCAAATGGGACACAAGGCCTTAGAGTCTTAGAGGCCAGACTGAGAGCTCCCTTGACAGTTTTGGGTTTAGAGGTTAAGGGGTTTAGGGTTTAGGGAAGGGGCTGGAACGACGGAGATCTCTCAGCCATGGCCGGCAACTCGCCTCTTGAAAAGATGCGCGGCAGAAAGGACAAGATACTATCATAGCGTGCCGCACAAGCACTGGCCCTGCACACCTTCGAGCTCCGCTAGCAGCTACTAGCAACGTGTACATGAAGAGAAGCACGAGAACGCTTTGAATACTCGTGAGCTCAGTAGCACCAGAGCTTACCCGCCCGGATATGGGCTCAACTCTTGCGACGCAAAGCTGCGCCGTGCGACTGCAAAGGCCCCTGGGAGCTGAGGAAGCCCAATGATCTTGGGGTCGGATCACCGCTTGGATCTTCTGACAGAGCCTGTGGTCAGTTTTCTGGGACTGCCGTACTGGTAGTGCTTGGTCTACGTGATTCACTCTATTCTGCAGTTCGTGGAAGGTCGCACCTGCGAACTGCCGTTGAATGGCAGCGGACTTGCCCACATGTGAAGGAGGCCTTGCCAACACTCTGCTCGTGTTTTTTTGCGCGAATGCTGGAGCCATAGCAAGAGGGCATGGAAAGTTCTATGAAAAGTCGCCTCTGGTGTGGGGAGGCGTCGATGGCAGTGATGGGGCTCCCAACCGAGAGGTTCCGCTCAGATGTGGATGCTTTCGGAGCAGAGGCTTCTGGTGTTGAAGAGGGAAGGCAGCTTTCAAGCCGGGATAGACTGGAGCTCCAAGCCTAAAGGATTTATCCATGATATACATATCATCAATTCGATACAGACCTAGACACAAACAGACATGCAGACATGACTCATGCATACCTTCTTTATATAAGTGGGTGGTTGTCAAAATTAGGGTCCATTTTTCGGCCCCTACTATAATACGGCACCTATTATTAAGGGTACCCAAAAGGGACCTTAATTTTGACAACCACCCATGTGTATCGACTTATACCAACCTTGAGAAACCCCGTCTCGAAGCCGTTGAAGGAGCCCCGAGAGCGACGGATGCACTCCATGCCGTCGCTGAGGAGAGGGCGACAAGTCAGTTGAAGAAGGGCTTCAGCTTAGCTTTTCTTAAACCCTAAGCCCTGAACCGTTCGACACTTCGGAGTTGCTGAGGTGAGGAAAATGAGAGTTGTGGACGGCTTTACGTTCAGTACGCTCGGTTTCGGAATTCGAGGGGGCGATGTGCGGCAGAAGACGATGCAACATCCGCTCGGGCCGCCTAAACTTAAAGCCCCAAAGCCTAAACCCCTAAACCCTACTGCAAGTAGTGCAGATTCAAAAAGGCCATCAAAAAAAGCAACAACAAAAAACAAGACCCTGAACCATACCGTCATAGGCACTCGCCAAAAGTTGAGTTTGCAGGCTCACGCGCAGCGAGGCGGTGCTGCCTCGCCGCGCTGCAGGGTTCTCAAAGCTAGGGTTCAGGAGGTACTTTAGAGGTTTAGGGTTTAGGGGTTTTAGGTGTAGGGTTTAGGGAAGACTCCGCAAGCTCTTGAGCACGGCATGTGGCAGAAAGTTTTACGCAGTCCATCCAGTCCAAAACACATTCCGTGTTTGAGGATCCGCTGCCTAAAGTAGTTGCGATGGGGCCATCCCCACCACACATCGAAGTCGTCATCATCCTCTTCTTCCCTGTCGTCGTTTGATTAAGCAACAACGACCGAGATGAGGACGTGATCCGCCCGCCCAGGCTTCGAAGCCACCTCATGGCAAAGAGCAGGGGCTGCGGGGGCGCAGCATTCCCAGATTCAGACGGAGAGAGCAGGAGCAGAGGGCACAGAATGAGCGGTAACGTGGAAGCAGGCGATTGCTTTTGTAGTTTACTGAAACTGGCGTGACCACTCTGCTTCGGACGCTTGCGAGGCTGGGGCACGGCAGTCGCCCCAACACTCACGTGGCCCCGTTCCGAGAAGGCTCGCTTTTGGCATACAACAGCAATTCAGGACATATCATCATGTAGGGTTCTCAGCTTCAAATCGGCCATGCGACACATGGACCATAAAGGGTCGTTTTTCGTTGACTGCTCACCGAAAGCCTCGACCTTTCGGTGGAGAAGACGCTGGGAAGTTTCGCAGGGAAAATGCTCGCGGTGTTCAGTGCGGCGGATAGGCTGCAGTTGCGCGGTGGACTCGGGATTGATGTGTAAATCTTCCCAATGTGAGCAGGTGGATCCGTCGAAGCGCAGCCCATCTCCCTTCGCCGCGCCAAGGCCTGGGCACAGCACGGAAGATGAATCCTCTGCGCTTTGGGCCATGGCTTACCCCAAAGATCCCAAAGTAAGGAGTCAACGCCTCGCAGCGGTTTCACTCTCATGGCGTTCCTGGAGTTTGCGCTGTGTCGCATCTACCTGGTGTCCCAGCCTACTGCATGTGCTGTGGTCAAGACACCCTGCAAGCGAGCCCCTGAAATCTCGCAAGTCTAAGAGAATGCAGTGCTTCAAGGGTGAGAGGGGCGGAGTAACTGAGGACTCTAGCAACGGTCCCAAGCATCACGGCGAGTGCCAGAGTCGTCGCACAGTGACTCTTATGACTGGAATTCTTTTCGTTATCGTAGTTTCAGCATGATGAATAATGTGTATGATCCGTGGTCTGTTGAGAACACGCAGCAGTAGCAATCCCTTAATGGGAGTTCCTATAAAGTACCCTTAGTAGTATAGGGCCCCAAATTAGGGGATCTACTTTCTATTATGTGCCGCTTGGTTTTCAGCCCCCAGCAGGCCCCGGCGAAGACGAAGCAGTGGGCGCAGCGGCTCCGAGGCAACACGGTACTGTAAGTGCTCGCCAATCCCAAAGATCTTCGGTTTGGGGTTTAGTTGAGTATAGGGCATAGTGGCCTAAGTAATTACCAATGCGATTTTGGGATTTCTTATTTCATTTACAAACCTGTTCAAACTAGTCGTTGTTCGCGGGGCTGCCGTCGCGGCAATAGTTGTCTCTAGCTGTCTCAGTTGAGCGCTTTGTCTTTGCCGCGACATCCATGAAGTGTCAAGCCTCGGCAATGCGTGGTGGGAAGTGCAGACGAGCAAGGTTTGTCTACGGGTTCAGACTTTGAGAGATGACAGCTCTTCGATATTCTACTGGGAATTGTTGGGGGGTAATAAGGTCGAAACTTACGATTACAGTGAAGGGCGACACTGGGCGCAAGGAGGTCCATGGCGCGGCTGTGATCATGTGATTGACCTCTTTCGATAGTTCGTCGAGAGCAGATGAGCCCGCCGACCTTCAATGTTTGCCGTGTATCATGGGGAGTCGGTTCATTTGCAACGTACCCGAGGTCCTCGAAGGAAACGGCTATCGAAGCCTGCAATTGTTTTTTCGAAACAGCGCAACTGTCTCGAGCTGAATTTACTGGGCCTGTCAAGGCCTCAAATCCCAAGCCCTGCACCCTGCTTACACCCCAAAAGCACCAGCATCAGCAAAGCCGCAGCAAGCCCAAGAAGCGACCCAAACAGGAACCCAGAAACTCACCCACAAAGGAACCCAACACGGAAACCATGAAGGTACCCATAAAGAAACCCACAAAAGTAACCAACCCAAAAATAACCCTCAAAGGACCTAAGCCCTAACCCTGGACCCTTGAAGGACTTAGCGCCTGAAGCCATGCCTGCCTTGTGCGAGTGTGTGAGTCGGAAACCCTTGAAGGAACCGAAAGCCCCTAAACCCTAAACCCTCAACCCTGAACCCTAAACCCTAAACCCCTAAACCCTAAACCCCTAAACCCCTAAACCCTAAACCCCTAAACCCTAAACCCCTAAGCCGGCCCTCTCGTTAGGCCTCCTTGACGCCCAGCGAGGAAGTCCCTGGTCTCCAGGTCTGCCGCTAGAATCTACTGATGGTTTTGCAGTATGCTCTAGTAAATCACAGACTATAGTGTGTGTGTGTGTGTGTGTGTGTATGTATATATAGAGTATATAGTATAAAAAGATCAAAGTATATAACATTCGATTACAGTTTATTGTGCTATATTATACTCCGGGATGATATGGATTCGGGCGGGGTTCGTGATGCGAGGAGCTTCCGAATGGCTTTGCATCGCTAGTGCAGATGTGAGATGGGACGGGCCTGTCCAGTCATCACTTAGTACATCGTCCATAACTGCTCCTTGCAACTTGACACTGGTTCAGCTGTCCTCGAACCTGAAAACCGCTCATGACATGCGGACTTCTGCGCAAACAGGGTTTCGTTTTGCTTGGCGAATCGCAGGATGCCTTCTTGAGGATTTGCTCCTCGAGTCGCCAGCACCTCAGGTCAGTGCCATTGGCACTAGAGAGAATACCGAGAGTGCCACCGTCATCATGATGTTGAGGAGGAGGAGGAGGAGGAGGAGGAGGAGCTGTCAAGTTTGATCGAGGATGAGAGTGGTGAGACATGAGAACGTGCTCATGGCATGGTGTTCATGCTGGTGCAGATGATTATATATGATGTTTCAGCACCAGCTATTCGGCAGTGCAGTTTTGAGCTTCATGTGAGGGAGGACCGCGTGCCGCTAGTGGTTCCTTATGACGGCCATCACCACCACGCACATGTTTCCAGGCATGGACAGCCGCCAGTTCGACAAGTTTTGCCGCGAGGCAGGTTACATCGATGCCAAGCCGCAGCCTTGGCTTCAAAGTTTCGAGCTTTGTGAGGCTCAGAGGGCAGGGTTTTGGGGCATAGAATGCAGCCAAGGTTCACCACAGCGGATGCGGATCTGCTGTTTACAACCATTACGTGCAGCTCCCAGCAACGCTTCTTCGGAATTCTCTGCAGAAGTCCCAGGGGTTGCGCGTGCAGGGCTCGGGGCCCACGGCGACTGAGCTCCGGACAGTTCGAGGCGGCCTTGAGGCGAGCGGGAGAGCCCTAAACCCAAAACCCCTAAACCAAGGCTTGTCCGAGTGTGAGCGTCAGAAAATCCCCTAAACCCTAAACCCTCGGTTTTTGCCTTTGCTCATCCGTGGCACTCAGAGAAATTTCTGCAGTGAGAGGCTCCTCGCAGATCGAAAGCGCTTGTCCTTGGACTCTGTGTTCTCCAAGGCGAGGCGGGTTTTGCAGCCCCCCCAAAGCAAGATGTTACGAAGTCTGGAAGCCTGCAGGTCAAGAAGATGGCTGCACAGTCTCCGACTTAAAACCCGATGTGATTCGTCTTCTCTCCCATGATTGAGTCATGCTAGCTCAGAGTTCAACACTGATCGCACCAAAGCACGCCAAGCTGTTCAACATGTCCCCTTTACTTCAGCATCCTCGTCCAAGCTGGCCGAATGACATGTGTAATGTAGGGGCCTTCATAATCAGAATGGGGTTTGGGGTTCCTGTATACTCTACTCAAAATAAAGAAGCCCCAAACCCTATTTTAATTATTAAGGCCCCTACATTATGTAACTCTGAACGTTGGCTCAATCTTTGACACATGGCGATTACTATTATCATTGCCATTGCTATCATTGCGAGCAGTATGACGATGACTATCACCATGACCATTACTACTACTATTTTGCTATTACTACGGCTGTCATAAATTGAGCTACTCTTGCTACTACTGCTATTACTGCTATTCGTACTATCATACTATTATCTCAAAACTGCTAGCATTTCTGATGCTATAGTAACTGCAAGAACAAGTATGATCGTTTTCATTTATATTATACTTATCGTTAGTGTTCTAATTATCATTGGTACTATTACTACTACTACTACTACTACTACTACTACTACTACTACTACTACTACTACTACTACTACTACTACTACTACTACTACTACTACTACTACTACTACTACTACTACTACTACTACTACTACTACTACTACTACTACTACTACTACTACTACTACTACTACTCGCGACTAGTATTACTGTAGTTCTTAAATACTCGTACTATTGTTTGTAAGTTTCCGAAAATCGGGGACGGACCCTAATATAGTACCTTAAATAGTAGGATCCTTATTATAGAGACTCCAAAATAAGGTACCCCTAATTTTCGGAAACTCCCAAAACCTTAAGCCCGCTATAGAACCCCTATAGATCCCTTTTAAGGAACCCTTATAGAGACCCCTTAAAGGAGCCCCTAATTTTCGGAAACTCCCCTTATGTTAAGGACCAGCGAGGGCTCTGTGGAGCGACGACAGGAGCTTGCAGGCGCATCCTTCGTCTCAGGGCTTCCTTCGATGCTTGCAGCCTTCTTCATAATGGTGCTTTAGAGCTTCAGGGTGTCTTGTGTGGTTTGAAGGAGTTGTGTGTTTTATCGTGCTTTTACGGTTGTCTATGGGCGTTTACGGTTTTTGGATGTTCGTTGATTGCAGTTCGTCGCCACGTGTGGCCTCACGAAGCAACACAGTTGCTCGTGTGTCGCGGTCTGTCTCATCTCTACGCAACTAGTAGTCGGTTGATAAGGCCATCTCACATTGTTGCCTGACCAGGCGTCACTACTCTGCCAGAAGCTGTGCCAGATCCTCAGAAGAGGGCTTGCACTTCGGAGGAACGATGGAATCTATGGATTCCATGACCACGGTGCCCCTTCACGCGGTAAAACAGACCCTCTAAAGTTAGAGCAAGGAACCAGTTCAACAGCGGAAGTTTGCACTCAGCCTGAGGCCACGCAGCCGTGCGCAAAGTTCGCCTCCCGGCGATTCTCGGGGACCTGCTTCCCGCGAGGCACCGCTCAAGGGACTTCTCAGCTTTTCAGTCTCTTGGAGCCCCGTGCGATGCATGACATGAGCATCATTTTTAAGATTGAGCACCCGTTGCAAGGGCTGGTTCTACCCGCTGGACAACGGATACCTCCCTGGTGTCAAACGACACAGCATGGGCCCGAGCAAGTCGTTGAGTCAACTTGGCTGCATAGAGTTTGCGCGCAACTTAAACCCCTAAACCCTATCCCCCTAAGCCCTAAAACCCTAAACCCCTAAGTCTTAAACTCCACCAGACACACACACACACACACACACACATCGACAAGCCCTTGGGCACCTGCAAGGCCTTGGAGTTGATAAGGCGGAGCGAGAGTCCACTCCTCAGGGGACGTGCCAGGCGACGCTCTTTCGACAACGTGGTCCATCCGGGAGTTAGTTACCAATTATTATTATCAAAGTCATCAACTATTAGATTATTCGTGGTAGCATGTTTCAGCGTTCTTATTGTTTGTCTTGATACTTCTATTCGTAGCCTCGCTGTTATATGGGGAGCTGGGTTGCACCCAGATGGCGCTGCCAAGGCTGCTGCTCGACAGCTTCGTCAACTTCTGCTGGGTGCGCGGTCAGAGCTTCCTTGAAAGCGTCCCGAACGGCCGAAGTGTCGAAGTAAGATGAATGAATGCGGTGGCCTTAGTAATTATCTATTCTACTTTTGGAGGTTCCTTATTTTAGTGATGGCATGATATACCCCCCAAACCCTATTCCAAGTATTAAGGGCCCTCTTTTTTATCATGCGGTCGTGAGGCAAGCGTTTGTGGCTTCTGCAGGTTCGATCTGAGGATTCAGGGTGCTTCATACCTGCGCTGCATGGCCACCACCCTGGGGTGGGGCGGGGCGGGGCGGGGCTGCGAGCCTGGAGGGGAATTAGTGGGTGCGAGGAAGACAGTCAAGAGCGGAGAAGTGCTCAAGAAGAAGAAGAGGTCGAAGTAGAACAGTATGCACATGGGCCAAGACTACCCACCTTGGGTGGTTGGGGTGAAAGTTTTTGGGTATATAGGGATTATATAGGGACTGTGCTACCCCAAAGAGGTCAAAGGTTACCTACTCTACTACTAGAGAAATATTGTGGATTCATTGCAGGGGAAGCCGGACATGAGCAATCGGGACTTCTTGCGCTTGTGCCGCAGCCTCAGAGAGAGGCCCGCTGCTTTTGGGCCCCGAAGCAGGACCCGGGGCCAGCTGCAATGGAAGGGTCTATAGGGATTAGTATAAGGGATCCATAAGGGTTCTATAATATAGGGGCCTTAATAATTAGACTTAAGATCGGTTGTAGGGTTTAGGGTTTAGGCCCTAGGTTTTTGAATCCCGTGCGGCCGCGCCTGAGGCCGCGACTGCCGGCTTCTGAGCAGCAGGCGACATGCCAAGTTCGGCTGGGCCTGGACAGTTTTCTGCACACAGACAGAGTGGGGCTCAGACATCGACCTCACGCTTGACGTTTTGCGATTATGGAAGCCTCAGATGACCTCAGATGTACTCGCTGGTGGTGCGCAAGTGTTTGCCAGGTTTACAGCGTTGGACGCCGATCTCCTTTTTGTGAAGGCCGGGTTGAGCTTATAGGAAGGACAAGAAGGTAAGGAACCCCTCGCAATCAAAGCAACGAAGGTTCATCGGCAGTTATAAGTGGGGTCCTAAGTCCCCCAAGACGGATTATACTTATGGTTATCTACGTATAACCCAACATATAACTCCCTCTTAAAAACCCTAAACCCTATAGAACCCTTAAAGCAACCCTGACAACCCTTATGAACCCCACCTATAACTCTCCTGCTGAGGTGCTGCCAAAGGGGCAGCGCCGGCTGAAATTTGAAGACTTCGAGGCGCTGACGACCACGAAGGGAGGTTCAGGGTAGTTATAAGTGGGGCTTATAAGCAGGGTTTTAGGGTCGCAGTGCAAAGTATCTCTCTTGCAGGCTGCGTTGATAGACGCGGCTGTGAGAAAGAAAGTCTCGGAAAGTGCCGTGCCTGGCTTTTTCGTGAGTGAGCAAGAAGCAATGCGAGGAATACCCGGACGGTATATAATGTTACGATGCAGGACTGACAGAGCAACCGACCTCGGCGTCAGCCGGTTAAGGTGACATTCGCCGAGCCATTGCCTTTTGTCATGGTCCTTTCGCAGAGGCCTTAGCTTTCAGAAGCTACTGCCACAGATCGCGGCTGGTCAGAACTTACAGATACACGCCGAATGTTGGCATCATCATCCTTCCCCGCGTCTTCCTGATGAAGTCATCGTTGTAACAGTGGTAGCAACAGTAGCAGGAGCAGTCGCAGCAGTGGTTGTTGTCGTCGTCCTGTTCGTGGCATTTGAAAGTTGGTCCTCAGTTTTTTGTACTTTGTACTCAGTACTCAGTGGTAGCTGGTTAGAGTAGCGGTAGTAGCAGCGATGCAGCGGTACTAGTAGTAGTAGTAGTAGTAGTAGTAGTAGTAGTAGTAGTAGTAGTAGTAGTAGTAGCAGTAGCAGCAGCAGCAGCAGCAGCGAGTAGTAGTAGTAGTAGTAGTAGTAGTAGTAGTAGTAGTAGTAGTAGTAGTAGTAGTAGTAGTAGTAGTAGTAGAAGTAGAAGTAGAAGTAGAAGTAGTAGTAGTAGTAGTAGTAGTAGTAGTAGTAGTAGTAGTAGTATCAGTAGTAGTAGTAGTAGTAGTAGCAGTAGCAGTAGCAGTAGTAGTAGTAGTAGTAGTAGTAGTAGTAGTAGTAGTAGTAGTAGTCGTGGTGGTGGTGGTCGTCGTCGCCGTCGTCGTCGTCGTGGCAGCAGTGGCAGCGGTCGGGGTAGCTACCGCTAGCAGGAGTAGAGTGGAGGAGTGGTGGTAGTAATACTTGTTGTTGTGGTAGTGGTAGTGGTAGTGGTAGTAGTGGTAGTGGTAGTGGTAGTGGTAGTAGTAGTAGTAGTAGCAGTAGTAGTAGTAGTAGTAGTAGTGGGAGTAGTAGTAGTGGTAGTAGTAGTAGTAGTAGTAGTAGTAGTAGTAGTAGTAACAGAAGCAGCATGGCTTGTTCGTTATATCCTACGATGGCTGAGTTTTAAGTGCTCAGACAGCTGTTCGAGAATTGAGAGTAGAAATAGCTGGCCTCCAACAACAGTCGCCAGCCCAAGGTGCAAGCTACGGAGGCTGATACCGTTCGCCTTCATGACGACATCAGCAGCTACACAGGCTTCCTTGCAATCGGTCTCCGGTAATCAGCGGAGAACCTGGGCTCTACATTCTCTACCGTCCCTAAGCACCTTTTTTGGGTCGTGAAGAGTCGGTTTCCCCAGATGCCTGCGAGCCAGGCACTCATGTTCATGGAGGACCCGAGCCGGACTCCCAATCGCAGATGGGATTCGGTGGCTTGTGTAACAAGTTTTGGGTACTTGGCGAGATCAATACACGCCGTAGCGTTTTTGTCTGTAGCTGCTGCAGCTTTTTAATCAGAGCGGCCAGGGCCGGGCAGGGGTGCTTGAACGCTTCAGCTCCCGCAATTCAGGTCCGGAGGGCTGGGCGCTGGCACCGTGGTGCAGATGTGGCCTTCTCGGGCATGTGTTTACAGGACGGTGGGTCTATGAGGCAAAGCCGGCACTTGCCAATACACCATGACCATCCACAGTATATATTGTGGTTTGAAGCTACAGCCTATTAGTGTCTTTTTGGCAGCAATGTGTCCGGCAGCACCACTACTAAGTAACCGCTACAAGTCTTGGAGCTTGGTGCGTGTGAGTGTGTGTCTCCATGCATTTCACGGTGAGCCTTGAGAGATGCATGGCCTCTTTGCAAAAGCCACTCCCCAGCCTACAAAACATCCTGAATGTTTGAACGGGACATGCAGCTGGCAAAATGTCGCCAGGTGACGACACTGCGTTGACTATATGTCGGTAAGGACCCAGAATAACCCTCTGGCGTGAACTGGTGACTACACTTCCTGGCGCCTGTTAGCTTAGACGGGCTGCTCGGCTTGTAGAGCACCCATTCTGCCAATGGATTTTTCGCCGACTCTACTGCAGCGGCGATGTAGTGATGAGGCTGATCCGAGTCTTGATGCAATCGAGACCATCCGAAGCTCAGGCAAGACTCGAATCGACCTCATGTTGTTTCCATAAAGCCTTTAGTCGACATACTCTGTGGAGATGAAGGGAAGTTTCGTGAGCCGCTCCGAAAAGCCTTTGTTAAAGTAGCTTACTTCACCCGAGAACGAGAACGTCCCTTTTCTTCCCTACAAACTGTTTGGATCGAATCAGCATAGGGATGGTCTTCGCGACGGGCTGCAGGAGTTGCCCGTTTCAAGACCATCCAGTAGGATCCTTAGGTTTCCCGTGCGAACCTGGCCAAGCCATGCGCTTTTCGCACCTTTTGCTGCAGTGACGTGCCACGATACATCAGGGCCAGGCAGCATTTCTGAAACTATTCGATGACAACGGGTGCGAGATTTTGGAGTTATACTTACGGAGAACAGGGTGAGTCTAGCTTTGAGACGCCGGCTTCGCGGCACGAAATACTTCGGGGTCTGTGGCCGAAGGTGGTGGCAGCCACGACCCTCTGCACATGCTTCAACCAGAAACTGAAGGTATGGAGGTGTGACGCTACTCGGTTCTTGTAGACCCGGCCCCATTTCACCACAATTACCTTCGGCACGGACCTGGCAAGCTTATTGGCCCATGCCGTGTACACAAGCAAAGTTGTTTTTGCAAAGGGGCTCAGCAGCAATGGGGCTTCCTTGCTGAAGCAACACATGTGAGCACCCGCCAGAAGCTGCGCACACAAGTTGCACACGGGTGCTCAGTGCAACAACCAGCCACCTCAACAGAACTTTGAGCAGCCCCGCCGATGCTTGAGGGCATGGCCGCAAGCCCCCGACTAATGCCAAGTGACGGAAACTGAGGGATTCCTGATACCTTGTGATTGTCTGAAAATCGTTGGCCCTTTCTTACACTATCATCTTGGCCTGACCGGCCCCGTAAGTTGCCTGAATCACTGTTGGAGCCCCTGGCCACGCACAGGAGTTGAGAGGGGTCAGAGTGCCCTTTCATGCTGCGAGACGGTTGCCGAACAGAGCCTAGAAGCCAGTGTACATTACCGTACATTATAGTACATCATCTTATAAACAAGGAGAAGATCGTCGAAGCACTCTATTGCTGGCCGTTTCCTTCAAGTACCACAGCAGCTGTCTCTGCGCAGGGTTGACGGCAGAATCCGTCAGTGTGCGATGGCCCAGATTGGCAGATGGAATCATGGGACGTCAACTGTATTCGCTAAGAGTATTTCTTGGAAAAGCAGCTTCAGTGCCAGAGTCGTTGCAGTTGGCGGTGGATAATAAAACCCCCCGCACGGACTTACAACCCCCCGACTGGGTCAGCACCGCACACTTGCCCCATGTACGCATTTTATCGGTTCGGTAAGCTCACTTCTCATGCATCCCATGTCTGTGATTCCTGTCCAAAGCAGCTGAAGAAGCTGTCAAAGCTACGTGAAATGGGGATTGGTGACCCGAAGCTGAGCAGAGCTTGCGCCGTCAAAACTGAGAGCCACCTTCCCGGTGTCCTGACTGCGAAGCACAAGTAGGCTCTGTTTAGCTTGTGGGTGTTGATTAGGTTGGTTCTTGTGGAGCGAGATCGCTTTGCATTCCTATATGCCTGATACCACCCGGCCGAACTTGCCAAGCCGACCGGAAATCCAGACCATGTGCGAAGGCTAAAAGTATGGTCCTAGCTGACAAGCAGCAAGCGTCACTGCACACGGCGACTGGCTTTCACGATAGGGATGTAGTGTATGCTAGGGTATATAGGTTTTATAGGTTCATAAGGTGTAGAGGGGATATAGGATAGGTAAGTTGTATAGGTTTATAGGGTATATAGGGGGTATAGGATATCTAGGGTATACAGGGTTGGCCATGACATGGCAGAGCAGTCGGCATGCTGCAAGGCTTTGCCTTCGCAACAGGCGCTCAAGGCGTGTTGGTTCCCGAGAGCTCCCAGTTGAATCCCCATTCATGCTTTTGCAGCTCGCTGTTGCAAAAGAGGTTTGGACTGTCAAGGACTGAGCGGCCCTTCATCTTCAGACTCTGGACTCTAGACCTCAAGGGTGATAATAAGCGCCCCTGCTCCGTCGCCGTGACGTACCGTCACCACTGGCATTCATACCATGACGGTTGCTAGTATTCCAGCACTGCTCCTGCGATTATGACCACGGCATCACCACGACAACAAGCCTACCCAGTAGTTATAGCATTGTGAAGCGCTTTGAACCAAAATCCGAGTGCCCATGAAACAGAGTGTTTCCATGAAACAGAGTGTCCTGTGCCCTTCATAATGATCGTGATCAAGCAAAATCCTACGTCCTACACCCGCAGAAGCCGAAGACAAAAAGAACAAAGCAATGATTGCTTGAGGACGGTATCAGTCAAGATTGAATTGAAGTTCAGGGTGCAGTTCAGAGTGTAAACTGTAAAGCTTGTTTTTTTTGAAGGGCTTTGATCCGAAGGTGCGGTCAGTCGGCCAGCGCCGACCGACTTGGCAGGAGGAGCTCCAAAGGTCCCCCTGCATTCCGGGGGAATAGAACATACTATAGGGGCCTACATAGTTACCCATACTATCTTGAGGGGTCTCTTATTATGATTATGGTGTAATGGGCCCCAAACCCTATTCTAATTATTAAGGCCCCTACATTGTTTGATTTTTTTCGAGATTGCATGTTGATGGCTTTAAGGTTCAGCCTGTTCCGGCTAGTAATGGTTCAGCTGCGATTCACTGCAGGGTTTGGCACTGGCTTTGGAGTTCCCTTCTCGCTCCACCACAGACTCAAGCGCAGTTTGTCCGTCGCATCTAAATCTAAGTTCGCTATTGCTCACAGGCCTGGTATACAGAGAAAACCTTCTCATTGCGAAAGGTATATGACAACGTGCCTACACCCTGCTTCGGCCGATTGTGACAGGAGTTTGCCAAGAATCCTTGTATGCGCTAAGACCAAGACGGCTCTTGTTTAGGCCTGGGCACTAGCTTGACCATCCTTGATCCCTACATCCAAAGATCCTTTGTCCCGAATCCCGGATCAAGCATTAATATGCTGACAGGATGTGTATATATGTATGTATCTACGAAATCCTGTTCGCCTGAACGTCGATGAGTGGGTTTTCTTGACCAGTCTGTCATGCTGCATCCCAGTGCTCAAAGCCAGATCCGACAGGATGTGCTTATTTGAGCTTCGCAATGATGTAAAGGCAGCTATCGAGGTGGATGCCGGCCAGGGTTGGCAAGTCCTCTACCCAGGCAGCAGTCTCACATGGGAAGCCCCTCCACCTCATGTTGCCGCGCGCTATCGCGATGACCCTGATATTTCTGGCGAAGGCGCCATTGCCTTCAGTGGCAGTGTAAGCGTATCAGAAGTTTTTGGCTCCTTTGCTGCCCAATGCGCATGCATCGTGGACATCGAGCGAAGGGCTGTACTGCGCGAACGCAAGCTTCGACAAAGTCGAGGGCAGAAGTTGGAGCAGGCCAAAGTGAGGGCACTAAGCGCCCAACAGTGCCGCCTGCTAGGCCAGCTGTGTTTGAAGTCAGGGATTCCTTGTGGACTCCTAGCGCTGTGTACAAGACTACACCCAACAAACTGGATACTAGTTAGACTCTGGCTTCTGGCTGCCACCGTGTTCTTCGTCATTTCGGTGTGCTATGCGCAGTTCCATGTGAGGCTCAGTTGGAAGCTGCATGATGTGATACTTAACGGCCTTGGAGGCTCACGTGGCTGGACATGCATGAGGGCTACCTGCACATCTTACCTCTATATGATCCTCGCAGATTGTCTTCTTCTCATAGTGATAGCTTTCATCATTGCTGTTTATGTCATGTCATGGGACATAGATCAGGGCAAGGCCTTGGAATGGTTAGCCTGGATTTGTTCACCAGTATCTTGTGTGATCGGCCCGTACTGCATCAAGAGCACTGAAAGGGATGCCCAGCAGGCTGCCGAAGGTCAGAGCGCACGGGAGCTGGACAATGCTCGTGAAGAGGCATGTGAGCGAAGCATCGTGTTTGAAGGCAGAGTTCTGTCTAGCGCGGAGCCATGCGTATGCTCCTGGCCTGGGAAGTACGAATCGGCCTGGGATGCGTTGGTTCAGGGCAAGCACATCAGCGCTGCAGTGGTTTTTCTCCCTGAAGGCTCGATGCATTACGGCAGCCATGATCCGGTCCCATCACATGAGGAAGTTGAAGGAGTGCGAGAAGGAGGTTGCTGGTGTGTGCCAATCTATGGCGAATGCAAGCCCTGGGGGTGTCGCTGGTGGACTCATTGGATGGCGAATGTAAAGAAGGCTCATGGCTTGGGAGCCGAACTAGTAGTCTACTACTTTGCTAACATGAGGGGCCAAGGGAAAGTGCAAAGTTTCACCACGGCTGGCGATGAGCACCGAAGGCGAGACGAGCTATATCGCAAGAAGCGGCACTTCGAAAACTCACTAGAAGTACAAGAGGCCAGGGCTGCAGGATTGAAGAATCTCTGCAAGGACAAAGGGGAGGATTCCTCGTCTCAATATGATCGCGAGGTTCACCGCCTGTTCTTGGCGTCGCTTAACATGGCTGATCGTAAGTTCCTGGAGGAATCGGAGGGTCTGGGCAACTCCCAAAAGGCCGAAGTGGCATGGCTGGACAAGCAAGGCTACCGATACACAGAGAAGGAGGTGAGAGTGCAGGAATGGGTTCGACGCTCGACAGTCCAGGCAATCGAGATGTCAAGCTTGGGATAGCCTACGATGACTCAACTCAACTGGTTTTCGCAGCCTTCTACGCGTTAAAATGAGTCTCAGAGTCGCAATAAGCGCTAACAAGCGAAGGCGGCATGAAGCAAACATTGCATGACACTGATAGGGTCTAAGGTTTAGGGTTTTATAAGGGGTCAGGATTGACGGCTTGGAGCTTCCACTAGGGCCCCTGCCGCATTTTGCGTGGCATTACTCCCAAAGCCTCATGAAGGTTTTGGGCCCTCCATCCTGGGAGCCCTCTAAATTCTCGAAACACGAGCCTTCTTGGTGTACCAGCCAGCACGCAGCATCCCAGGAACTACGCTTTTGAGACAACTGATGAATACGTATGTATGCAAGTATGACTGTGAATACTGTCTGTCAACAAATTGTTGGATGGCAAATGATAGCAAAGTCTGGCCGTCAGGTTTTTCGAGACTTGGGCGAATGGAGAAGTTCCAGGCATCAGATTCTGCACGGCAGTGGCCCCTCGGACTTGAAGGAAATGACAGCATCAGAGCCACATGCATCAACCTGTCTAAACTAAGCTTCTGACTCTGGTGAGAGTGCTTCCCTGAACCGTCTTGATAATATTTGCTGTGGCCGTGGCTGTTGCAGTGATTGCTCTACGCAGTCGCGAATATGATGAACAAGTATGTTATTCTGAGTCGTATTGTCTTTCATATTCTGATTGCCATTTTAACGATGATAATTGCCTTCCACACGAGCCTTCCCGAAAGCCAAGTCTAAGTCCCGGCATGTTGGAGTTTCGTAAGATAGAGGACCCTCAAATACAAGGACCCCCAGATGAGGTACTCTAAACTTCCCTTAAAGATAAAAGCCTTTGTAAACCTCCCAAAAAGTCCTTACATAAGACGGCTCGAAAGCACTCCGTAGTTTTCCCATTTAAGGCAGCGGCCATGGGCAGAGGAAAGGCTCCTGAGGCGGCTTCGGCCTTTGCTGAAGCTCTGCGGAGTCGGGAGGTGGACTCTTGAGCTGCAGAGTTGGTTTAGGGATTAGGGTTTAGGAAGTAGGGTTTAGGGATTAGGGAGTAGAGTTGAGGGATTAGGGTTCAAGGTTTAGGGTTCCTGAGTAGTACCCTTTTCCCCTTTTTGTTCTAGGCTCCCCTTTTTGAAAGTGAATAGTAGGAAACAGGGTACCCGCATTACAAGGGGGCCATCCAGGAACCTGGTTACTAGTAGTGCGGTAGCCATGGTAGATCATGGCCATTGCATTAGTGATCGTGGTTATAATTACTACAGCTATTCTAATAAGTTGCTGTAAGGTGGTAACTATGGTCCTGTTTGCGGTGATGGTTCTCATAGCTATTCCAACTAATCTAACCTGGCTCGTATATGGCTAATCTAGTAGTTGTAAAGGATGAGGGATTCTCAGAATAGTATTAGAGCAACAGTAACTATACGTTGTTTTATAATACGGTTACTATGGGGCTTAGCAGAAACGACTACATACGGTGAGGATAAGGGAATATCAGACAGGGCCAGCATAAAGGTGCAGAGAGGTTCAGGGCTTCGCATTTCGGATTTACCGAGGTGATGTCAACCTGTCGTCGACCTGTCGTCGCGGTTTTGTCAGAATCCTCGTCCTACTTCTCCACCCCTACTCCTACGCGGGCGCGTGCGTTTTAAGGGCCTGAGGAGTTGAGTTCCCAGAGAAGGGCTAAACACATCCCGGGATCGAGGACTTGGATACGTTCTTCTTCAACAACGTCTTGCAAGCATGCTCATCGAGCAGTGGCTGGGAAGTCCCTCTCGCTGTTTTGGCAGAGATGGTGGCCAGAGGCATGGCCTTTGCAGGAAGTTTTCCGTAGTAGTAGAGCAGGCAACCTGTAACCTTTTTGGGGGAGTACCCGACAAGTAGGTTCCCGGCATGAGAGCGCAGCACCTGACTTGTGGAAGGCCCTTGTCCGGATCTTGCCAGCTGGGGTACCGTGGTCAATGCTTGCTCCAGGAGCACCGAGACACCTTGGCAGTTTGCAATGTTGCCTTGGGACTGCCAATCTCCTTCAATGAACGCTTCAACATCTGGCCGACAACTATGTTGCTCACAGCAGGGCACCCTTGGCCTTTCCGGACTGTGTCATGAAGCAGTGCTGAAGCTGAAATCATTTAGTCCACAGTGCAGTCCAGGAGCACGAGCTGGCAGCAAGCACTGGGCGTCATGGCTGAGATGGTCCGGACCCGTATGCAGCCCAACGTCGTGGCTTCTTGAAGGCAAGATTTCTGAGAATGCTGGTATCGGCAGTGAAGCCGCTGTAATTTGTTGTCAATCCTCACTGCCAAAACCCAGGTATATGGGGCAGCGATCACAGCGTGTGCGAGCGGGCAGTGGGAGAGATCACTGCAGATGCTATTGGACATGCAAGGAGCGGGTCGCGATTTGTCACTGCATTTTTCGACATATAGTTTATGCAGATGCGAGCATTGTCATGGCGTGGTTGCCCAGAGCTGAGTAGAGCGCAAAGCGAGGAGAAAGTTGCGACAAGACTCGACAAAACATGACTGAGTTGTTGTTTTGTCGAAATGGCTCCGCATGGAAAGCATGTGTTTTGCACTCCTCGTCGCAGGCACAAAGGTATTGCCAAATGTCGTCAGCTGCAGCGCCGTGATCAGCGCGTGCGTCAGAGGCGCACAGTGTCTTGGCGATCACACGGGAACGGAAGTGACGGTCCTTGCTTGGGTTGTGTACTTGAAAGCTCAAGCCTTCGCCACTCCTTGTTCGCACGAGCTGTTGACTGCGACACGGACTTGCTATATGGGCTACCACGCTCAACATCTATGTTGATGCTGCTGGAGTTTCCTAGAAGTAGTACGGTGCGCCATGGCTGAAAGGTGGGTGTCCGCTCTGGAGATCTTACAGCAAATGTCCAATGCTGCTTGGCCAGCTGTCATGTTGCCTATGTGCTTCACGGTGAAAGAAAACGGGTGTTACGGTTCGGTTCGGTACGGTTGGCGTTGTTTGCGGCTTCCTTCGAGGATGTGGTTCGGTGCTGAGAACCGCCTCCCACTTCCCACCTCCCACGCCCCACTTCCCTCAACCTCCCACCCCTGCCGGCTGCCTTCCCACCTCCTCCCCTCGCACTTCCCACCTCGCGCCTCCCGCCACCTCCACTCCCCACCTCCCACGTCCCACCTCCCACCCTCTCACAACCTTATGGGAGGTGGCAGGGCTCGGTTCGGTTTGGTGCGGTCCCAGATGCTGCGGTTCGGTTCGATACAGGAGCGGGCGGTTCGATACGCGAGAGATTTTGTAGATCATCTCATGGGAAAGGCAGTGCTGCTTCCGGACTTGATCACCTTCAGCGCGAGCATGAGCGCCTGTGCCGGTGCTGGGCAATGGCAGCGAGCCATTCAGCTTCTGGCCGAAATGAAGAGAGCACCTTTGCTGTAAGGGTTTTTGCGACTCCCAGTACCGCAGTCCTCAGACGACATGCAAAGGTAGACCTCGCAAATCCTGTGGTTGTCCATTCAGGTACAGGTACAGCCGAATATCTTCAGTCGCCAGCTCAGCGGAGTTCCTTTCATACAGGCCAATACCAGCATGTCAATCGTGTTGGCGCTCAGCTGCTCGAGCGGGCTCAGGCTACAACGCTGCAGTGGATGCCTTCACGCAGACGTCGGAGGGATGGGCCTGAGCCCCTTGCAGAGCTTTAGCCTGAGAGATTCCCCTCAGACTCCTGGTGCCGAGGCAGGTGTTCTGCAGCTTCTTAGCGACATGCATCAAGAGCAGGTGCAACTGCAGACGGACACTCGCCAGAATTGCAGGTCACAAGGCATCACTACGTCTCTTGCCCTGCGAGCTTCGAGCCGGGTTTGTGTAGCCTTGCAAGCGGTTCACCTCTCTTTGCCTGCATCAGAAGGGGCATTGGTAGCCGGATTTTGGGATGGTATGGCCACTTGGTGTTGATGAATGCCGGTTTTGCCACGCATCATGGGATGTCAGAACCATGTCGAAAGCTCTATGGTATGCTCTCTATAGTAATAGATCTCGTGATTTGTTTTCCTTTTCCCTCCCAAGTGCTCAGGAAACCTACAGCAGTGCCATGCGCGCATGCGGCCTCGCAGGACCCCGGGACTGGCACCAAGCGCTTGAAAGGGAAAGTGCCTTTCACACTCGAATGCAGAGGATGCTGGGCGACAGCTTTGCTTCTGTGGGAGCAACTATGGCACAGCCCCCTTGTGGTAGCGCACTGAGTGCTTCACGAGTTGATGGCATAGCATCACCAATTCCAGTGTACAGAACCCGGGTGACCGGATGTTGCCTTGGTTGAGGTGGATGCGGTCGCCATGGGAGCGATCATCTCGGCATGCCGCTGGGACGTGTCCCTGTCGCTGCTGCGCCACATGGTGACCTCTGAGCTTCGGATCGGCCCCCAGCTTCTTGAGTGGTAATATAAATGTTAATGTCAGTATTAGTATGACTAGTAGTATTAGTCGCAGTCTAAGTACTAGTATTACCCTTTAGGGTTTCCAGTCCAGAATCCGGGCCGTGACGGAAGGTTTAGCACGAGCACACACTAGGGAATGGGCTGTAGTGTATCCATGAGGCCAGATGCAGTCAACTTCGCCCAATCCATCGTGGCTTCTGGGAGGCAGTTGGTGACGCCTCATATACGGCATACGAAGAGTTTCTGACTCTGAACCTCTCGCAACTGAGGCATGCGAGAATGCCGGTCGCTTTCGAGTCGGAACCTCCTTGCTCGCTCAACTAGCGGCAGAGGCGAGGCGGGTGGTCTCTGCCAGTGCGTGAATCGGGCAGTACGCGTAGCAAGCCTGGTCTCGGAATAGTTGCCTCTCCTTTGCCTGAACTCTCTCCTGATTTTGTCAGGGCCGGCATTGGACTCATTTGTGCCTGCAGCTGAGACAAAAGCAGGATTCTGAGTCTGAGTGTGTGTCCATGCGCATTTTGGCCTCCAACATCTTTCACAGTCCCTCATCTTCTGGTACTATATCAAGTGGTACTCGTATAAGTTGTATCTGCACATGGTAAAAATTGTGCGTGTGTGCAAAGTCCCAGGTCCGATCATGTTTCCAAGTCTAAAGCAGCAGTGCAGCGAGCAAGAGGGGGGGGGGGGCAGGACCACCCAATAATCCGCAACCCCTGTGCACAGCATGCTGAGTCGAACCGTTCATTCTGGAGCCAGACCAAGCGAAAAAAAACAACATGCCTGGCACAGCCTCGGCTCAAGAGCTTTCGAACACATTTGCAACCGAGGCACATTTACATGGTTTTCAATCTGCAAAGCGCCCATGTATTCGTTTGAAAATACAGTATGCAGTACAGTGCAATGCAATACTCGGTACTATCACTTAGAAAAGAAAGGAAGACATATACGTCCATGATTGCATACATAAACATAGACATGTACGCACGCCGGCGCAGACTGCAGCAGAATACTACTTAACTTGCTCGTTTAGCTTGCGGTGTTTTTCCTCGTCCATGCACTGCCACAGTGACACGTGGAAGCCACAGTTCAGAAGCTTTGGCTTTGCCAAAGCGCTCTGTGCAAAAAGGGACAAGTCGCCCACATGTGCTTACAAAAGAACTAGTTGTAGATGCGCATCTCCTGAAGCACGGATGGGCCGCGATTCCAAAGCTGAGCCAGGCAGGGTCTGCTCTATCGGTTCTCCACAACACGTGTAAGAGGAATTTATACTTCTGTTTGTATCCAGCATCTGCCTAATCAATCGCACTATCTATATCCGTATCTATATATATATATATATACACAGGTATAGATATATATGAGTAGATATTACGTACATTCGTACCATGTACCTCCGTGTATGTAGCTGCGCGTTTCTTGTTCTCCGTTGAACTGGTGCTATGTTATATCGTCATGTATCGTCGGCAGGCTCGCCGCGAGCCGCGCATTTCTGGCATGCAAGGAGGCCGGGGGGCTCCATGAAGCAAAAGCAGAGTTTTTTGCACCCGGCTATATGAGCAGGCGAACTCTGACCCGAACTTATCGAACACTTGTTCGGCAAAATGAGAAATTTGTGCATCGTCCAGGCTGGCAGGGTGCAGTGCGGCTTCCTCAGAGCAGTTGTCGAAAAGCAAAGATAAGCGACAGGCCTTTTGAATGACGTTCTCTGTGTCTTTTTGAGGCATGCACTTGCCGCGGCTCGCAAGGGTCTCAGAGAAGGGCATTTGATGTATGTAGGAGCAGTGACAGGAACTCGCAAAAATCAGCCGGGTTGCTTTAGTGTTTTTTTGCAGTTGTCGTTTGGGGCATCCACCCTCCCGGGCTGCATTTCCTTGCGTCTACTTCGTTAACGAGGCGAAGAGCGTCGCCCAATTCACGTGGCAGAATGCACCTCGGTACGAGACCCGGTGGCTTCGTGAAGTCCGCCTGGCCCGGCAAAACAGGCGATTTTCCAGAAGCAGGTTCTTGCACTCCCCTGTTGCAATTGACACAGACATGATCGCGCAGTCCCGACGTGCAGAAAAATTGGGAATGTCAAAAACCCGCGCGAGTGGCCGAGGTTATAGCCGCTTGCGGTCGGGCACGCCAGCGGGGTCCTGATCGGTCAAGTTCCGTGAGTGTCGTTTTTTACTGGGGTAGAGGGTCCACAGAGACCTGGTGATAGAGTCGATAGAGGTTGAGAGAGTGCAGAGTCGATAGATAAACTCCTGCGATCTCCTTCGTATATGCCAAGGTCAGAAGTCGTGTTGAAGCTGCTGGAGGGCATGCGGCAGGAGCTTCGTCGCGTCGAAACGTGCAGCAGTTCGCAGTGCGCAGCAGGCAAGTGCTCTCCTGATTCTTTGGAACAGGAAGGGCCATTCCCCGATGCCGTTTGCTGCAACAGCGTTCTGAAGGTCGTTGCTCCTGCAGTTTTCGCCATTGAGTTAGCCCTGCTGGTAGTCTCTTGGTGCATGTTGGACAGGCCTGCTCGGAGGGCCGCGATGCCTGGAAGCTGCAAAGTCGGCTGGTGGAGGGAGCCTTGGTTCCCTCCGTGCCTTCCAGAAGCCAAACATCCGTCCCCGCAGCCGATCTTGAGGGCGAGATGAAGCGTGCCGGTCCCGAGCCAGACATCGCCACGTGCGCCGGCCTTCTTCAGCTCTATCCTGCGGCGGAGCCAACTTGCTGCCTCAGGTACGGCGCCCTCCTCGCATCCCTCGGCCGTGCTGGCCGTTGGGCAGCCCTGACATGTTTGAGTTTGCAACTTCCAAACGGGACGCTCGGGGCTTCACGCGCACGCAGCTTTTCAGGAAGCCTGCATGGATGTCTTGGCCGAGCTTAAGACGAGCAGCCTCGAGTCCAACGTCATCGTGTGCGACCTGCAGCAGGCTGTAGGTCTGTGGGTTCATTGATGTCCTTGTGTGGCAGAGGTACAGCACGGCTGTGTCGGCCTGCAACAAGGACAGGGCAGCCATGAAACGGCAGAGCACGCGATGGAACGGTATTGTCGGAAATCAACAGTGCATTCCTAGACCCTCCATCAACCCTCTATTAGACCCTAAATGCCCCTCATTTGGGGACCATATACCATTGTTTGAGGGTACATGGTTCTCGTTACTGGATTCATTGAATTGTTGCTTGCCAAGCAGGGATCGGAAAAGAGAAGGCACGCACGCGAATTCGGTGGGTGGCAATGCTTTCAAGCTTGGATGCAGCAAGAAACTCGCCATTCTGCCAGGCCAGTCAGTGGCAGAGTGGCCTACGTGTTCTGGAAGACATGTTTGGTGCTGAGCATCAAGGGGGGGATGAGGTGTTGATAAACGGGTCAACTCCAGCAAACTCCAGCATGGGGTGCGTATCGAGTTCGCTCCAGGCCACGCTACTAGCATCCCTGACTTTGCCGAGCTTGTGCCCATACTCAGGCACAACAGCATCGTGCCACCAAATCTGTTCACGTTCAGCGCAGCGAGCTGGCGGCAATTGGACATGAGCTGATAGTTTTTTGGTAGGTGCTTCTGCAAGCTGTTGCAGAGGCTTCAGGGAAGTTGGAGCCAGAATGGATGGTTGCACGAAGTTCTTGGAGGGAGCCTACTGCCTGCCGCGATGCCAGCTGTTATCACAGACTCGGGACCTGGATAGATGAGCGGAAGCCATAAACTCTTCTGCTAACCATAAATTGGTATTGAGAACTCTGCTCTACTGAACCATACGCAAAAAAGCAAAGCCCCTTAAAATCCTCAGCCCTAAACCCTACAGATCCCTTAAGGGAACCCTTACAGTACCCTTTAAAGGAACCCTAAACCCTAAACCAAAGCCTAAATCCTATACTGTTTTGGGGTGCTCCTTATTGTAATCGTAGTAGAATGGGCCCCAAAACCCTGTTTTGGTCTCGGTTTCCGCCAGGCGATCAGCGCTTGCGCTAAAGGTCAGGAGTGGGCATCGAGCTCAGCTTGCATCGATGCTGTATGGGACTTTCCGAATACTAGGTTTACCTTATTTTGGGGCCCTTACAATAAGGATCCTATTATTCAGTGTACTATATGGAGGGTCCCCTGTTTTCGGAAGCTCCCAGACAGTAGATTACAACAGTGATATAATGGCGTAAAGCATGGTACCGTATGTTAGAGTGTATTAGAGTTTTGGTCTTTGCATGCTAACGGCTAGGAGCGGCAGCTATGCAGAAGACGCTACTTTCCGAACCTTTCTCGTTTGATTCTGAATTCTACTCCTTAAGACCCTTAAACCCTAAACCCTAAATACTTCTTAAGATCCTTAAACCTTAAACCCCAGCATGGCTGAGGAGGGTGCGATGGCGTTGCTTCATGAAACACGAGATCGAGGCAGGAAGCACCACAATACTTGTCATTCACTCTTTGTCTCTCTTTTTCCCTAGCTGTCCAGCTATCTCTCTGCGTTACACCGTATCTCTCTCCGTATTTCCGGTTCTATCTATCTGTATCTAGCCGATCTTGCCTCTGGGTTCTTCTTCGTCTGTTTAGCTTGCCAGAGATCTGAACGTATGGTTGGACTTTCTCATGATGCCTTCCAAGACTCGGCACACAGTCCTAAATGAAGGCCCCCTATATTACAGTATCCTCATGGATCCCTTATAGTAGCCCTTATAGAGCCCTTTAAAGGAACCCCTATTCTAATTATTGAGAATCATAATTTCTTCTTCAATCCCCAGGCCCAAAACCTAAACCCCAAACCCAAAGCCCTAAACCCAAACCCTAAACCCCTTTTTTAAACGCAAAAGGAGCTTAAAAAAAAAAAACTAAGCCCTAAGACAGGTTTGACTCCCGACTTGATGGTTCTCAGTGCTGCGATCCTGGCGTGCTCACCTCTCAGACAACGGTCTTTCGCGGGTACATTATCAAGGATTCTAGCATATGGGAGTTTCCAAAAATTAGGGGTACATTAAATTGGGGTCCTTATAGTAAGGATGCTGGTATTTAGGGGACTATATGAGGTCCTTCGCGGTGAACGGGTGGACTGTCACGGGTCGTCCAATCGCTGTTGGGGAGCAGCGGCAGCGCTTGCATCGACATCCCTACACGTCGCCGTGATCACCCACCAGCATCAACTTCACCGTTCATCACAACAAGCAGCATCCTCGCATATCCTGATCATAACCATTATTATCATCATCGTCTCTGCCGCGACCGATACCGGAACAAATCCATCCTGGTTCACGATTCTAGCCACATTGGACGACATCGTCATAGTGATTACTTTGTTTGCTGTCCACACAAGCGCGTTGTTCCGGACCACATGTGCAGACGAGGTGGTGAAGGCAGCCAGTGGGAGAACTCGATCTCCCTGCTTCGTGAAGCGTGTGCGGCTTGGCTGCTCGCCGACTGGTAGCCTATTCCGTGCGGCTCTGTGCAGCTTAAACAGCAACAGTACATCTAAACATATACTATAGGGGCCTAAATAATTACCTATACTATTTTGGGGGTTCCTCATTGTAATTGTAGTATAAGGGGCCCCCGTAACACATACTGAACCGAAGCCGAGGCAGAGGAGCCAGATGCTCCCCAATCTCGTCACATTTAATGCTGCCTTCCATGCTGTGAGCTGCTTGGCGGCAAGGACGCCTCTTTTTGCGCTACGCCACAGGCCTCGGCTTGCTGGAGACCAGCACTGTGACAGAACTCATCCTTGTTTCTGTAATCTGAAAGAGCAGAGCGGATGCGGAAGAGGGGGGGGGAGGGGGGCCAAGACAACAGGCTAGGGTCAGGGCGGGGAGGGCCGAAAAAGCAGCCGGGAGGGGTGGGAAATCAACCCAAGAAACGGGTGCGTCCAAACGTTCGCACTGCAGGCTGGGGTACCTGAGCTAGCCCCCAAGACGCCTGGGCCTGTGGCCTCGGCGGATACATTCTTCTTTATTCTACTATACTCAGCTTTGAGAGTTCAAGTTGCGGGGGGCAAAGACAAAGCCTTGTCTTGGGTGTGCAGATGGTGACCCCTGACACTTGAATGATCGGGTCGAGCGTGACATACAGCAGAGGTAAGCGGAGCTGCTTTAAATAAAGCCTGTCATAGGCACTCATGGCAAAATTTTCAAGCACGGCAGAAAGTAGGGCAAAAGCAAGCATCCGGCACCCCGTCAAGGCTCCAGCGCGAACTGGCCTTTGGCGCCCGGCTCCGAGAGGTTTCTGTCGCAGCTCCCTTCAATACGGGTGGTTGTCAAAATTATGGTCCCTTTTTGGGTCCCCAATATAGTACGGCCCCTAATATATAGGGTACCCATCAAGGGACCATAATTTTGAGAGCCTCCCATACGAACGTCTAGAATGCTGTTTGAGACACCAGAAGCCTTTGTGATGATCACTCAGAGATCGTCTGCTAGACATTGCTAGGTCTGCTAGGTTCCGCGGAATAGAATGCATGAATGGCAATGCCATCAATCGTGCGGAACAGCCTCGGCTACCATTTTGGCACCCGAGGCTGGAGCTCTTGAGTGATATGAGGCCGCCCAGCCGAGCTGTGCAATAATAATCGGAAGTTGGGCTTGAGTTTTTAGGGACTATTCTGCAGGCCTTTGTGGCGAAGCCTTTGCCAGCTGGGCAGTTAGTCGTCACAGGCATGCAAGAACCCGGCCAGAAGCACGGACAATCAGCGCCACGGCTGCATTTGCTGAGTTGCCAGGGAAAGCAGTCGATGTCGCAGTGGTTTGATGCAGTTGCTTAGGTAGCATCGTCCGGGCTTGCGGGAACGCCGGCGCGCAGCCACCTAAGCATGTATGCGGGCACACAGTCGAAGTTCCATGTGTCCATCCATTGCAGTGGAAAACACCCGCAGACGGGTGAAATGCGATATGGCAGATGGAATCAAGGTGGGAACGTGGGCTGCATGTTCTCCGGACAGCACGGGAAGGCCCGTCAACCATCACCAGCAGACCTTTTGCAGTTTTCAACTCCCAATCTCAGCTGAGAACACTGCATGAGCGTGACGGCCTGCCAGTGCTTGATGCCATCGAGGATATGCAATGAGCTTGGGACCCGCTTGCCTGACAAAGGACAGCTACATCTTGACATCATCGCGCAGCGTCCACAGAGTTTGATTGTCGTTGCTGCAAGCCAGAGACGGCCTGCATTCACAGTGCCGAGCCATGACGGAACATGATCAATGGCAGTCGGCGTTCTTCCGAAGCGACTGCAAGGTATCACTCAGCAGTTGCTGCGTGCGAGGAGGCCGGGCTGCGTGGCACAAGTTCAATGTAGCGCTGCTGCAACCAAGACAAGATGGTCGGTCCGAGCAGCGGAAACCTGTTTCCAAATGGAAAGCCCTGCCTTCATTGCACCTCGTTCAAGTGCCGCCCTGCTGTGGAGGCTGCAGAATGGCAACAAGCGATCGAGCTGCTGTCAGAGTTGAGGCCATTCTATGTGCGGTTTTACTCAAACCTTTCCCCAATCAGAATCGGTTGCTGCTATCGATGCTTGACAGACAGAATCGCTAAACTCTAAACAACGACACCATAAACCCTAAGCCTTGAACCCTAAACAGTGTAACAGGCATTCCAGACTCCCTTTGGGCAGACGGAAAGAGGGTTCAAAAAAAAAGAACCCTAAACAGTTAACAAGAACACCCTGTTCGCAGACGCTGGCGCCTGTCGGCCGACGCGAAGATCGCGTCACCGGCCATTGGTGCTTGTGCGAAGCCTGGGCCCCAAATCCACTTTGACCTTGATGCGATTGTGGATTTTTTTATGTTGTACTTCAATACGAACATATTACAGTATGGCATAATACGAGTCGTTATGACATACTTAAAATTGAGTATATTATGAGTGGACTTTCCCATTGGTGCACACAACTTGTCAGAGCCCTCGAGGTCCGGCGAATGGGAAGTGGCCCTCTCCTTGCTGCGCCTGCTTCTCGTTTTCTTCCGGCAAATGGCGATTCCGCCACTGCGTATTAACAGTGTATTACGTTGTTGTGACTGTACTAACACTTCAACAGGAAGATTTTATTCGTCCTTGTTTTCGCAATTCTATAGACTCTAGTCTAGACTTGTCAAACGCCCTGGCCGTTGCCGCTTGTGTGGCGTTGGTGGCTTGGTGGGGTCACTCAGGTTCTGCAGCCAATTCCGACAATCTCCTGTACAGAGCAACAATCACAGCTTGTGGAAAGGCCTGGCGGTGCGGGTTTGGGGGTAGACCAACGTGACCAGCACTGCCAAGCCATGATCGGCGTCCCCGGTGCCGAAGGGACCTGAGATGACCCAAGAAGCAAGTCGCATAAGTAAACTAATATCAGGATAGAATAAGTGAACCGTATCAAGACATGACGTTGCAGCAGCCTCGTATTTTCCGAAGCCCGCCAGGCTTACACGATTTATACAAACAGCGCTTCAATTCGGGACAACTGTGGAAAGGAGAGAAGCTAGGACCCATGTACCTAGGTTCAGTCATGCCTGGGAAACCCTAAACCCTACTTGGAGGTTCATGGGTAGTTAATACCCTCGATTTATCCAGGGTCCGAAAGGGTGGCCCTGGGTACCCTTGGGAACAGGGTCCGAAAGGGTCGCCCGACCCATTCGGACCCCACCTCAGATATTAGAAAAGCAAGCCAGTTAATACCAGATTTAACTTGCCTGCGGTAGTCCTGCGGTATCACCGCACCGAAAGAATGCCTTGTGGGGGGTGGCTGACGGGGGGGGCACTAGGCATTGAAATACCTTGTAGACCCCCGGAGTGCCTTGTATGGGGGTCATAGAATATGAGAGAATAGGTGTGCTGGCGAGTGGTACAAAACATTTACCCTGAAAACCTAAACCCTGAAACCTATACACCAAAATCCAGAGACATCCAAAAACTTCAAAATCCAGAATCCTTGGAAGAGCCCCTGAACCCATCAACCCCTAAACCCAGAAATTCTTAACCCTTATGTCGCTTATGTCCCGCAGTAACCCAAAACCCCAAACGCAGAAACCCTAAACCCAGAAAGCCCTTGAACCCAGATACCCACCAAGCCCCCAAACGCAGAAGCATTGTACCCAAGCGCCTGAACTCAGAAACTGAAAACCCACAACCACTGAACAGAGGAACCGCTGAACCCAGAAACCCTAAACCCAGAATCCCAGAAACCCTGAGCCCATATCCCAGAAACCTTAAACCCAGATCCCAGAAACCCTGAGCCCATAGCCCAGAAACCCTGGCATGAACAGCCTGGCTTCAAGTGAAATCGGCTTGAAGTTGATCCTGTATGTTCGTCCTTAATCGCTACAGACCTCGCCAGGCTTGCCCGAGTGTGAGTGTCAAAACCCAGAAACCCAAAACCTTGTACTCCAAACCCTTGAACTCAGAAGCTCACGTAACAACCCAGAACACTTAAACCCAGAAGTTCTGAACCCCCAAATCTGCGAGTAAGCCCAGAAACGCAGAAACCCCAAACCCAGAAAACTCCTGAAGCCAGAAATGCAGAACCCAGAAACCGCAAACCCCGGAAGCCGCAGACATCATAAACTGAAACCCAAAATCACCGAACCGAGAACCGCTGAACCCAGAAACCCCAACCCAGAGAAAACTATTGAAGCCAGAAATCCGGAACCCAGAACCCGCAAACACCCAAACACAGAAACCCTGTAGAACCCAGAATCCCTAAGCCCTTAAACCAAAACCTTAAACCCCTGGACGCTGCACCGAAGCACAATAGCGGCTTGAAGCAAGTCACATGTCGTGTTCGAATCGAGTGGCCGACATGCCGACGCCACAGGGGCGACGCCGGGCGTCGCAACAGGAATCCACCGAGCGGCGCCCGGCGTCGCCCACACCTGTGGGAGCGGGGTCCGAATGGGTCGGCCACTCTTAGAGGGGGCGACGCCGGGCGCCGCTCGGTGGATTCCTGTTGCGACGCCAAGCCGCTATTGTGCTTCGGTGCCGCGTCCAGGGGTTTAAGGTTTTGGTTTAAGGGCTTAGGGATTCTGGGTTCTACAGGGTTTCTGTGTTTGGGTGTTTGCGGCTTCTGGGTTCCGGATTTCTGGCTTCAATAGTTTTCTCTGGGTTGGGGTTTCTGGGTTCAGCGGTTCTCGGTTCGGTGATTTTGGGTTTCAGTTTATGATGTCTGCGGCTTCCGGGGTTTGCGGTTTCTGGGTTCTGCATTTCTGGCTTCAGGAGTTTTCTGGGTTTAGGGTTTCTGCGTGCAGGGTTTCTGGGCTTACTCGCAGATTTGGGGGTTCAGAACTTCTGGGTTTAGGTGTTCTGGGTTGTTAGCTTCTGAGTTCAAGGGATGGGAGCACAAGGTTTTGGGTTTCTGGGTTTAGGGTTTCTGGGCTATGGGCTCAGGGTTTCTGGGATTCTGGGTTTAGGGTTTCTGGGATATGGGCTCAGGGTTTCTGGGATTCTGGGTTTAGGGTTTCTG